AGCAACCCCGATCTTAAGGAGAGAGTTGAAAGAGGAGGTCCACAGAGACCAGCAGTTGACCTTCCTTCAGGTCAGGAACTCAGCGATCCGCAGGTCCGAGGATGAGGACCAATCGAACTGTTCGGTGGACAAAGTCTCTGTGCCTGAACAGAGACAATCCCCACCCACAGGGGCCGACACGATGGAGACCATGATGGCTCAACTGTTGGCCCACCTAGAGAAGGTTGACCAACGCTTGAAGTGGTTGGAAAGCAGGTCAACAGCTGAGAATCAGGAAAAGAACGGGACAAAACAGGGACGGGTTGGACGGCCGCGTCCTGCCAAGCCATCACTCCAATGGACGGCAGACGGTCGACCAATTTGTTTGTCTTGTTCACAACCCGGACATATGGCACGGTACTGTCCGGTGAAACGATCGCCCTCTGTAAGGCAGGTCAAGGCTACAGAGCGGCGAGGTAAGGACTTGGTAAACAAAATGACACAGAAACACAGTAAGGAGAAAAAGAAAGGTAAAACACAACTAATGGAAAAAATGAACTGTGAAATGAACTTGAATGTTGAAAAGTTTCAAGTGAACAATTTGTTGGTAGAGAAAAATGATGATAAGAAGAAAATTGGTAGACTTAATAAAGGAATTCAAAGTCTAACCAGGAAACTGGATAGGAAAAGTTCATGCAAATCAAAAGCACAGGAGAAATGTTCATCTTTAAAGTGTCTGTTATCGGAAGAAGTAAATAAAAATATTAGACAACAGAACAGTGTTGGCAAACTAGAAGGAATGAAAGAGTCTCAAACAAGACTTGAAGAAAAATTATCAGATATTGAAAAAGAACTTCAAATTACAGCAAGGCTGGGATCCATCGAACAGCGATGGGCAGCAGAATTGGCACTCGTTGACCTAGAGAGAAAACATCGCCCGGGGCGGTCCAATGGCAATGCGGACGCTTTATCAAGGAATCCTTACGAGACACCGGGTGATGAGGAAGAAACACTGACAGGAATATGTGAGGTCAGAGCGTCAACAGATATCCCTCATGGGGTACAAGTGATGCAAAACGGGCAGACCGGGGTGGAGCACATATCCACGGAACCCGAACATATGGACAGTAGTGATTTTAATTGCCTTAATCACCAAAAGATAAGAGATGCCCAGAGAACGGATAGTGGCTTACAACCGCTATTGAAATACGTCCAGGAACAAAAATTCCCAGGAAGAAGGGAAAGAGAACAATTTGGTCGAGAAACAAAGAAAATACTGAGTCAGTGGAACCGTCTCAGTATAAAGGATGGTGTTCTCATGCGGAGAATTCATGACCAAATTGATGGCACAATACACCAGGTGGTGGTGCCGGGACAATTACGAGAAGAAGTGCTAAGGTTGGCACATGACAGGGCAGGACACCAAGGTCAGGTGGTGGTGCCTGGACAGTTAAGAGAAGAAGTGCTAAGGTTGGCACATGACAGGGCAGGACACCAGGGTCAGGACAGGACGCACAAAATATTACGACGGAGGTGTTACTGGCCCAATATGGAAATGGAGGTCAAACGCCATTGTGAGGCTTGTGTGAGGTGTCAGCATGCGAAAATGCCAGTTGTCAAAATGAGACAGCCATCAGGACACCTACTAGCGACAAAACCACTAGAGATTGTGGCTATGGATTTTACGTCGTTGGAGCAATCATCGGATGGGACGGAACATGTGTTGGTAATGACTGATGTATTCACCAAATGGACGGTGGCGGTGCCCACGCGAGATCAGACTGCCAAAACAGTGGCAAAGGTCTTAATAGAACATTGGTTCATCAAATATGGCATACCAAGACAATTACATTCTGACCAAGGAAGGGCTTTCGAGTCAGAAGTAATTAACCAACTGTGCAGCCACTACGGGATTAACAAATCTAGAACAACCACATTTAATCCGAAAGGAAACGGACAGTGTGAACGGTTCAACCGCAGCATGCATGATTTGCTGCGTACGCTAGAACCTGAACAGAAAAAACGTTGGCCTGATTTTCTCCCAGAGTTGGTATATCTATACAACTGCACACCCCATGCCACAACCGGCTTTACGCCATACATGTTGCTGTTCGGACGGGAGGCTCGACTCCCTCTTGATTTGTTCCTAGGAAAAAGGGAGAGTATGACTGGCTCATACACCGCACTGGAATATGTGAATGAACATATGAGAAGAATTAGAGAAATGTACAGGGTAGTACAGGAAAGACTAGAACATGAATCTCGGCGAAGGGAACCGCCGATACAGACGAAGGACCCGCCACTCAAACTGAATGACAGGGTATTACTGCGTAGCCACCCGTTAGGCAGAAACAAAATCCACGATCTCTGGGGACAGGAGATATGGCAAGTCGTGGAGATGCCTAAAGCAGCAGGTGGCCCCTTTAAGATAAGACCCATCGATCACGCCAAACCGGATCGGTGGGCGAATATTGCTCAATTAAAGAAATATTGGAATAGGCAAGAAGAGCAGTTACACACAGAGAAACCCAAGACAATTAGGGAACCGGAAGTTATAACGGAAATTCACATACCCATTCCGGAACCATATCACCATCAACAGAACAAACGCGATATACAAGTGGAGGATACCGGCAACAATGAGGATCCCGGTCCCTCCAGAAGCAGAGAGACAGTAGACCATCAGATAAGTGGTCCGCGGAGAAGTTTAAGGAACAGAAGGAATACGAAATTTTTTGTCAGCAACCATCAATTCTTTCATGGTCGCGCTGGTATGAAAACAGACTGTTCAAAGAGCTATAGAAGTGAACTGGTGAAGGCACCAAATGGAAAGGGTGGATGTGAATTCTAGAACTGTTTTGTGTCTCAGGAAGATGATGTAGACACAGTTGATATGTGAAATAGGTAGAACTGTCAATCGTATACGAATGGAACGTCGTGGACAGTGAGTGGAACAATAGATTTTTTTTTCTACGACTGTGCGATTGACTTTGGAGGAGTGCACCTGCCAGGCGTTGTTTGTGGTTGAAAACACACAAAAAAAGCAGGGGTGGATGTAACTGGGGTAGGCCTAACTACCAGTTACAAATGATAACGAACGAGAACCCGAGACACAGTGTTGGTCTGATGCAACCGATAACAGGTGGCTTATTGGGTCGGGCTGATAACAACCTCAAAGCCAACGCGTGCTATTTTGGGAAACGGTATTCAGACGGCCTGTCAACTTTGATGGATAGGACGCAGATGTTATTTTACGGTCTGTACGTTTGAACTACGCAACTGGTGGTCGGAGATCGAGTACAAGTATCGATTACGGAGGAATACAAGTACGGAGACGAGTACGGATACAAGGCATAAATAGGGGGGGACGGCAGAACTCTCTCTCTCTCTTCCCGTTTCAGCGAGCTCTCTTCCATCTTCATCGCTCGCTTAGATCAGTCAGTCTGTGTGACTATGTCAAGTCGGTTATAGAACGGGTTAGCCGTATTGTGTTAAGGAGGATTATAGACATGTGGATTCAGTTATATAAAGCCTAGTGAAGGACTGTTAGGGGTCAGTTGATTCAGACTATTATTGAGAAGCATTCCTGTTGATTTATTGTGTTATTATGAAGCATTTCTTGATTCATGTAATAAAGGATCAATAGCGAACCTGCATCTTGAGTATCTATACTGTGGTCAATGTTGTCTAGAATGAGTGGTTAAACTCGTTAACACGTGGCACTACAGGCAATTAGGTCTCATTACATGTGGCGTTGCGAGCATGGTAACTGTTGGCTCGTTACAATTGGCGTTGTCGGCAGGATAAATGTTCGCTCGTCACATAAGTGTACGTTTAATTCTTGCGGATATTTTGTGTGTGCTGTTTATTTTCAAAACACGGACACGTGTGTAAGTAGTAAATGCATACTATACCCTATATACTTAATTATATAATAAAAAAAAAAACACTAACTCAAAACAGCTATATTTATCGTAGTAAGGCTTAAACAGTTAACGAGAAAGTAATTTTTTATTTTAAAGTAAGGACCGTGCCGGATTCATTTGAACTTTATAAACCTCCATTAATCCCTGCCCATTTTATTTATTATGTTCATAAGCTATTATGTAGGCTAAGGGTTGTTTTGGTCGTTTTTTTCGTCGTCTTCCAGATTTTTGTCAATAAACTGGTATTAAGTTCACGAGATTGTCCAAAAATCACTCATGTGTGACAGCGATTGGTCAATCTGATACCTTCACGTGGTTTAACACGTGCTCACAGGGGCCCTTGTTTACATTAAATAAACAAGGCCGATTCTAGCCGGAATAAGATACGCATGCGATACGCATGCGCAATGGAGAGAAACTACGACTTGCCTTAGCGGCGATGTTTTCGATGGTACTGCGCATGCGTGTGTTACAACCGCAGAACCCTAACACCAACCCTAATCCTATCCTTAACCCTATCCCAAATCCTATCCCTAACCCTAATCCTATCCCTAGCTCTAATCCTATCCCTAACCCTATTCCTAATCCTACCCCTAACCATCATTCTAGCCCTAACCCTATCCATAGGTCGCTGCGCATGCGCAGAGCTATCTTTTGCTGACTAAGGGGAGAAAAATCTTCTTCTGAGTAGACACTTCGAATAAACAAACCCCCAAAATGGCCTTTTTTGTAAATAATTCTTGAAAAAAAATGGCTGCGTATTTTTAAAGTGTCATTTTAGGGCCCATTTTAAAAAAACGTAAAAAAATCCTAACTACACGGAGCAAATATGGCTTTTCCTGCCCTTTTAGGCTCCAAAAATGCTGTGTTTACATGATGTTTGATTGGTTGGTGGCGAATACAATGAAATCTCAAGGGTTTTCCCTAAATTTTTACCATAATATATCTTAGATCTAGATTATCTAGGTCAATCAATTATCTAGACCTAGATCTATCTACTAAATTTATCTATTTATTGTTAGGCCTAATTAGTTTAATAATTAGGCCTATCTTTAGTAATAGTATCTTAATCTTAGGCCAAATAAAAAATTTAACCTGCACTGCTCTGTTGAAAACAGTCGATGCACCTCCGGCAACTTTTTTAAATTTGGCATTTAAAGAATTCAGGTCCATGTCTGTTTAATGAATGTTTTAGGAATATTTTATAGAATACGTTTTAAAAATCAAGAAACTACAGTAGCTTTGTGATTAACAATTCAAGGCTATCCTATGCGAATTCGTCAACCATCAACAGGTAGCCCTACACTACAATCAATAGATTGACGTTTATTACTGCCAACAAGATACCACTTCCGTGTCATAGGACAAAATTATTCATCCATTGGTTAACCCGGCAGTTTTGTTTTCATTTTTAGCCCAAAAAACAAGAGCATACAAAATGCAGTCCTATTAGTTCAAAATCTGATAGATGATCGATCAGCCGATCAAGATCTAGATCTAGATCTAGATTAGATTTCTAGATCTATTTCTGTACAAAATCTGCAATTAAAATTAATTATATTACTTAGCCTAGAATCTAGATCTTCATCTCGTCTATTTATTTAATAGGCCCCTAAGTACTTTAAAAAAAACAAGTTAATAAAAAGTCTAGTGACAATTTAAGCGCAATTTCCTTAATTATTTTTTTGTGACCGAACGAAAGGATATTTTTGAAAACTTTCTTCGGCAATATTGTTCTAAATTATGGCAGGAATCGATTGGTAAATGTTTCTGGTCTGGTTACCGAGATATGGGCCAAAAACAGCATTTTTTTCGAGGTTTTTTTTTGGCTTTTCCGGGAAATCCAGGAAGGAATTCCGGGAATTTATTTGGCCCACAATCATCCTCGGAACTTGCTTAATTAACATATTTGCTTTGGAACTAGTCCTCGATATTGCTTCGTTGAGGAGGAGATACGACTTAAAGCTGCGGGGGTGTGCGGACCGCAGCGGGTGACACCATTTTTGGGGGTGACACCAAGACAAAAAAATTGCAAGATTTATAGAATAAATGTTGTTTTTTTTTTTGCCAGTTCAATGAATGGTTAATTAGAGCTAAAAAGTATTTTAATACATAATTACGATCCCGACAGTGGGGGGGGGGGGGGGGTGACACCATGACACGGACATGCAAACTATAGAGAAAACAATGCTACACCCAGCTGTATTTATAGATAAACATCATTAGTATTAAAGCTTTTACCGGGGGAGGGGTGACACCAATTGCAAAATTTAATTTACAGATAAAATTAAGAGGGGGGGGGGGCGGTGACACCAATAGGTGTCGCACCGGGTTTCACTCGACATAGCGACGCCACTGACCAGATGTACTTTTTATAGATTTCGAAAAGGCATTAGATAGTGATAGCGCAGACAAGCAGTAGTATGGAAACTTAGAAGCAATATAGCTCCAAGGTGCATTTATTTAACGTATCCAACCAACTATTTATTATCGGTCGACGCCCATTGGTGCATTAGGCATCAACGCCATTCCGTCTTTTCTTTAGTTATATAACCTCTGCCTGTCGGCTTCTATCATTCAACAATTTTTTTATTGATCTTCTCCGTGTTTATTTTGGCTGCCCTGATTTTCTCTTGCACTTCGGTTTCCATCTGACAGCAGACCTAGCTAATATTTCTCTCACATTCTTAACACATAATCAGTGGCGTAGCTAGGATTTTCGGGCCCCCTATGCAAGAAATTCGTCAGCCAAACATAAGCAGCGAAGAAATCGATTGCTACTTACGAGGGAGGAGTTTTAAATAATGTACATTTTAATAATTTTATATTTGATACGTCCTTAAATGTGTATCTATATACTGTACTGAATTATTATGTCCTACGTAAAGTAAAATACATTGCGTCATGACACCAAATCGACGGTCTCCATGTACAAAGTTATAGATAGTCGCTAAGAAGCTCTTGGTAGTAAACTGCAACGCCTTACTACCGGGGCGCCGCCCTCCGAAATAAAATAGAAATTTAATGGCAGAAACTTATCAGAAGTTTCTTCCAGAAAAATGTATGTAAAAAACCATGTAGTATTCTCAGCGACTTCCCAAAGTTTCTTGCAATCGGATGAATTGTATATTAATAATCAGTGTTTCTTCCAGACTTTTTTCTCCGGGGGGGGGGCACTTGAAATTTTCGGGGGGGGGGGCGGTAGACTTTCTTCGGGGGGGGGGGGGGCGGACACTGTTAAAAGTATATATTTTCTATATAAATTATATAAATTTCATTTCGTTCGGGGGGCGGAAATTTTTTTAAGCCCCCCCCCCCCCCCCCGAAGAGATGCCTGGAAGAAACTCTGTTTATAATGCATATAGGACAAACACACATCTCATAGTGTTAGTAGCGCCATATTGATTTAAGATAAATTAGATCAGCAAACAAAATGTCATTAAGGTTAAAACTGGCATAAATGTTATACTTCGCTTGTTTTAAAAACACTGTCCATTGTTGTTATAAAAAAAAATGGTTCAATTGAAATCATGGATGTTTAGTAGGATGGAATTTTGGGGAGGACAGACAGAAGGGAGATGCTGGTGGGGGTGGGATTGTGAGATTTCCAGTCAGTTAATTAAGGTTTTCAGCAACACATGTAATTTGTAAATTTAAGGGTGCCGGATGTGACGGAGGGGACGGACGGACGGGACACTTGTTTCAGTATATATTTGTTTTCTGTATAAATTCTATTCCGTTCGGGGGCGGTAGACGTAGAGGCTAATTCGTTTAATGCCTCGCCAAACAGTGGGATCACGCCTACAGTGTTATTAATACAGGTAGGACCTGTTTGACGCCACCCTCCCTTATGTCATGCTTACTACTCTAGCTTTACGGTAGCTACGCCACTGCACATAATCCAACCATCTCCATGTTGCCAACTACAATACCTCCACACAAAATGCCCAATGATACACAATGGCAAATAATCAGAAAACTTTAAAGTAAACCCGAAGTAAAACAATGGTGTTTGCTCTCACCATTGATATTTTTACTTGTAGCTGACTGAATTATGAAACGAATTACAGGAAATCAACGAACTAGAATCCGACAGGCACTGACATTACAACGTGAAGATTTGGATTTCAATGATGATCTCTGCTTTCTCTGACATGGTCAAAGAGGACTGCAGAGCAAATGTGCTTCTTAAGGAAGCAGTAAAAACCAGCAAGAAAGAAATTATTTTAATTTGCTTAATTAACTCAAGCCCATGAAGAATTTAAATGAAATATACCTTTTATAAGTAATCTATATATTTTAAAAGCAATTTACGTCTGTGTGTCTATAAGGCATTACATATACCTTTTATCCGATCGCCATGAAACTTTGGGAACTTGTTGAAAATACTCCTGGGGTGGTTTCTACAAAAAAAGTATTTGAACTTCGCAGAAGTGGTATCCCGTTAGGGTGCGATTTTTCTCTATATCTATTTATATAAAAAGCAATGTATGTGTTTGTCTGTCTGTTTCTTTGTTTGTTTGTCTTTTATGCATTACTCAGAGGCGTATAGGCCTACAGGTTTTCGGATTTATAGGGGGAGCGGCGAGTCGAGAAAAAGGCGATATGTATATATATATATATATATATATATATATATATATATATATATATATATATATATATATATATATATATATATATATAAGCTGTATATCATTGCTTCGCTAAAGTGTAAACACGCAAAAAAGTACTCTGAAGAAAACAAAAGAACAAAACACAATGTAAGGGCGACAATACAGAACAATTTATCACATAAAACAAAACAAAAACACCAAATATACACACAATACAACAAAAAAATAAAGTAAACGCAACACAATCTCTTTTGCAAACCTTATTTAAAAAAAAACATCTAACATAATAAAACATTTATAAGACAAGCAAATTAAAGTAGGGGAAATAATCAGTCAATATAGATAGATAAAGGCCTACACGTTTAATTGTAACATAATTTAATAAGGAAAGTTTGTAAAAGAGGAGTTGATATAACTTGTAAAAATGTGTGACTTAATTATATAGAACAATTCCGTTTATAGTCTACAGTTAAAAGACAATTTTAAAACTTTTGTTACTGGTTTTGTATTTCAGATATTTACATCTTTAACTAGCTACTGCTTTTGTGTTCTTCGAAAATTATTTTTTAACATAATGATAATGTATGGGTTTGATCACTTTATTGCTCACGCACATCTTTACTGGTAATTTTTAAAAAAACGTTATTCATACAGTTTGACCGGTTTCAAAAGCTATGATTCTGACTGTAAAATAAACAACTATAGTTGGAGGCATTTATACTCTTATCCACGGTGTTTTTATATTGTTTTAACTTAATTTACACGAGATATTAAAGTTTATGTTCGTTAAGTTCATATGTTCGTATAGTCTTGACTCATACTAACGTACTTGAAGATGTGTGAAAATATTTATCTTTCTGTACATTTATTCAGCTTCCGCCCCCCCCCCCCCCCCCCCCCCCGCCTACCACGTTTATTTGCATTGAGTTTTTAACACCATCCATCTAAAAATGTGTGCATCTGCATACTAATTAAGATGCCTTTGGAAAATATTCTAGATCAGTTGACAGACAAGCAGAGTTTCTTCCAGGTATATACTTTGTATAGAAAATATATACTTTTAACAGTGTCCACCCCCTTCCCCCCGAAAATTTCAAGTGCCCCCCCCCCCTCCCCTCCCCCGGAGAAAAAAGTCTGGAAGAAACACTGCAGACAAGGGACCCGCAGTTTCCTTTCCTGCTAGTATTGACATAACAAAGATAAGCAAAATCGTAACTTAGGAATTATAATTTCATTTTTATAATATGGGTATTCATTATAATATATTTAAAGCATGTTATTTAAATTTTAAAAATATGTTTTTTTTAAAGATCTGGATCTATATAATAAAAAATAAAAATAATTGGTCGGTCACTGAGTTATGTCCCATATGATGATATGTCACATGACTCAGTTTCCAAGACACTGACTTCGTTTATATAGACTAGGTTAAAGGTCACAATAAATTATTATTTTGTATTAAAAAGTAAAAAGTAATGTTGAATAACTGAAGCATATGCAATTAACACATATAAATCAAGGTAGAAGTAGAACTAATCTATATTTAGTAGATTAGGCCTAAATAGATAATGACCAGTAGTCTAGTTACTAGTAGCTAGTTACTTACACACACTAAATTACACTTAGATCTAGAATCTAGCTATACTCAGTATATATATTATATTAATATTAGTATAATAGTAAATAAATAGTATAATAATAATTACTATTATACTAATTATTACTGACTTGAGCAGGCATTAGATTAGTGATTAGAGCATGATTATGCCTAATCATTATAATTAATTACTAATTAATTCCCCCCCCCCCCCCCCCCCCATGCCTACTTATACTATACGGGTCTATACCAAATGAAATTACTATACTATACGACCTATAACTATATATAATATATATAATTTATACTTACTTATACTTAATTACTTTTGCTTATATTAAAATAGTAGCACTATGTGACTATATTAAAGTATATTAGGCCTATATTATACGAGCCAACCCACGGTGTATCATACGCCACTATTTAGTTGTTTTATTTTCTACTTTTCAGTAATTCATAATTTGTAAATTCGACAGTACCAATGCTGCCACTGAATATATTTGCTTTGAAACACTATTAGTAGCTCGTTAAGGACGATAACCCCCCTCCTTTCCCCAACCCCTACCCCCCCCTCTCTTAGTTACCTCCCCTAAGTTTAAAATCGTTTCAAACTAAATTATCTGCCCCTAATAGCCATCACTAAACTCGGCTCTACGATTGTAAACATTTAGCGAGAACCACAGCTCAACAGACCGTGTAGGGGTGGGGGTGATAGGGAGCGCGCTTACAGCTTGATGTTTTCTAGGGTCTCCAAGAAGAGAATTATATATATAGATAATCACTAGAATCTATGTATTTTTTATATAGTAACGTTTATTATACTAACTTATTATAGGCCCTACTATATAGTATTATATATGAATTATATTTAAATACCACTTAGATACTTGGCAGTATTTCTATAAGTACTAGTAGTAGTACTAGTTACTAGATCTAGATGCAGTCACCAGACTAGTTACTGCAGTGGACGTAGTGGGGGACCAAGTATTTAACTATTTTGGTATTTTAATTGTTGAGGTAAAAGTATGTATATATATCTAATCCTAATCAAAGATCATAATATTGAATTAAAATTGATAGTGGCCCTTTAAAAGCTGGGAAAATTAGAAAATTGTAACTTTTGGCTCTTCTGTCTCTTCTGTCTCAAAAGGTTGCTAGTACCATAGTAGTTGTATTAAGTATTCATATTTGTATCATTAACCCTTTCCCCCGGCAACATATTTGGTACCCTGTCCCCGGCAACTGGGTGGATTACACCCAAATACTTTCTTATAGTAAATTCTTTTCTTTGTTCATTGTGGGGTGGGTAACAATACTGACACAGTTAAGGTATTCAGGGCATTGTGGCCATGGGGAACACTAGACAGGTTATTGTCAATAGGAGAGCTGTAATATGAAACTACAGGTTGATGGGATTCTCAAGCAAGAGTTAACCTGTGGGTGGACACATGTAGTGATTTATACCCTTTGCTGAAGCTCTGACTTGCAGTTACAGACAGAACTGTAGTTTTGAGTTACAATAGGTTAATGAAATGCAGGTGTAAGATTGCCTGTGGGAGGACATATAAGGTGATTTGTACTCTTTTCGGGGAGCTCTGGAATGTAGATAGAGACAGTCAAGCATTTTAGAGTAACTTGACATTAACCTCATTAGGAGTACAAATGAGGACAAAAAGGCAAAATAACTTTGTAATGCTGCTTGAAAGTTGATACTGGGTAATGAATTGATCAAACTGGGAGTGGGGTGGGTGTTCTACAGGTTGTGACCCTGAGAGTAAGGTTTATAAATAGTCACAAACGTTATTGAGAACACAACAGAAACAAGTCTTGAATGCTTTTGTCTAAACTCAAGGCTAATGATAAAGGAATATATTTGCTAGTTTTGGTATAGCAGGTGAAAATTACCAACAAGTTTTGAGTCTGAACTATCAGTATCAGAGGTAGAAGATGAAGAATTGCAGCCATCAGTATCAGAGGTAGAAGATAATCCTGGTTCAGTTTCAAGCAGCTCTGATGAAGAGGACTACCCAATATACTGCATTTCAACTATCAATAATGTATCAACAGTTGGCACTCATAATGAAATGAAACTGATGGTGCAAATTGAAGAAAAAGAAATATTTTCAGGAAAGACAAAGTAACAGTACACTAGACCACTGCCTGAAGTGCTAATCCCAGGAAAAAATATAAATAGCCTGACTCATAATATTTCTTCTGTACATGAATACAACAATAATACAACCAAGATTTGACTGCATTAGCAGGGATGGAGAGAAAGCAAGAAGAGACACTGGCACTCTGCAGAATAACAATTTAGTTGTATGTCAATTCAGTTCTAATTATTGAAGTTTTTGAAGGCAGAATTTTCTATGAAGAGATTCAGCAACCTTCTGGGTCATATTCACTTTCACAACAATTACAATAACAGTCCATCAGGCTCATGGTATATTTGCTTCCATTATGGTAGATATTCCATACAAATTTAGCAGGGTGTTATGTTTCTAGAGAGATCATTACTAATTGGGCAACTGGTTGATTTTAGAGGTGGGAGTAGATTTATCCAATACATACCAAGCAATTCTGATAAGTATGGAATTAAAATATTTAGGGCATGTGACTCATGTAACACCACTAAAAGGGTGCCCATATTTTGTCAAAGAAAACTAAAGTTCCCTGACAGCAAAAGGAAATTTCCAGTTATTTTAATTTTATCTAACAACTGTGCTCTCTGAGGTGCAAATTATTAAAACGTTCTACTGTTCTATTATTTTATTACTAAAGTTGATTACTTCAATCCTGTTTGATATTTTTGTTACTCAAATACCTTCAGATTGTTAATTTATAGTTAAACTTTGAAAATTTAACACAATGACTTAACCCCCAATGAGTAAAAACAAATATTTAGAGGCTAGTTTATAAGTTATAAATATTTTTTCCATTCAAAATTGTGTACGGGTGTGTAACACCCAGTTGCCAGGGACCGTATAAAAAGATTTCAAAACCTCATAAAAAATATTTTTACGCATATTTTGTAAATTTACAACCTCCAATGTGTTCATCCCAACCACCTTATAGATGGGAATGAGGCCCAGAAAAATTTATAAAACGAGACTCGAGATTTGAGCAAAAATATAGCGACTTCGGGTCGATTACACCCAGTCGCCGGGGAAAGGGTTAAAATCATTATAAATAGCAGACTTTTTTCTCGGGGGGGGGGGGGGGGAGGGGGGGGGCACTTGGAATTTTTTTGGGGGGGTGGGAGGTGGGGCGGACACTGTAAAAAGTATATATTTTCTATATAATTTCCATTTAGTTTGAGGGAGGGGTAGACTTTTTTCGAGGGGGGGGGGGCAGAGACGCCTGGAAGAAACTCTGAGGACCAGCTAGAAAATATGATGGTGACAGTGGGGCTATAAGTCACAGGAGCAACTTGCCACAAGTATCCTACACAGCCTAACTCTTATTTGTTTAAAATTTGAATCTATTGCTATGATACTTAATAAATCTACTTACCTGAAGTGAAGCTATATGGGTAAAATGAAGCTACTCACTGATTTTGTTTATCACTCACTTGAAAGCAACACTCTTTTCTTCAATTACTTTTCAACAAAAAATTTCTGAAAGGAAACCTTTCAAAAATAGTTTTGGGGTTAGTTGACACATTTTGTGTAATTATTTCTCTAGCAAAAACTGACTTTCTTTATGCTACTTTTTTCCTGTTTTTTCCCCACTACCTGCTTTTTATATTGATTGACACGTGTAATATTCATAGTGGCTATGTAACATTTTTATTACTAAAGGTTTCCACAAGGTTTGCTCTCAATATTCGTACTTCAATGTGTGATTTTATTTGTCAACACCCCTCTTGTTGGGCTTATCAAAAGTTCCCTGGGAGAAATAAAAACCTTTGTGAAGATAATATAAAAGATGGAGAAGATGCAGTCCATTATCAGTCAGGTAAATATTATATTTGTCAATATTCTCTCCTCTCTTTCTTTCACTCTATATTATTATCTAGAGCAGGGGTCTCCAAACTACGGCCCGCGAGCCGGATGCGGCCCACAAGGTCCTTTCATCCGGCCCGCACCGATCGTTTTGTCCATGGAATAAATGTTTGTTATAAATATAATAAAAGAGCTGGCTTTCCTACATAGAATATATGGCACTGAAGAGCTGGCTTTCCTACATAGAATATATGGCACTGTTACCGGAGAGGATATCTAACCATAGATAGTTCAGAGATCTGTTGAAAGATACAAACACAGAATCGCAAGATGTACCATATTTCACAGCAGTAAGATCGCTAACTTGCGATAAAGTTCTGAGCAGAGTATTTAAATTAAGAAAGGAAATAGGTTACTTCCTGGAAAGTAAAGGCAAGCCATAGCCATTAATGTCTGATAAAGAGTGTGTATAGAAATTGGCCTCTGCTGCAGACATAACTAGTCATTTTAATTTTCTGAACCTAAAACTACAAGAGAGGGAAATCTAGTTTCTGATCTATACACCCACTTAAGGCCTTCAGATCCAAACTTGTCATGTTTTTGGAACAAGTACAGGCCAACAACTTGACACACTCTCAGTTGTGCAAGGTCTTATTACGGCTGACGCAACCACTGAGTTCCCCACGTCATGTAAGCGAGATCATCAAAGACCTCCAGCTGCAGTTTCAGTAGCGGTTTTCTGACTTGGATTCAAAGACAGAAGAAGTAAGACTGTTCCAAAACCCATTTGAAGCAAATGTGGCCAGTTGCAAAGATGAACTGCAGCTGGAGATCATTAGAGGCACGTTCACAGAAGGGCGGGTGGGTTTTTATAAGTTTTTGCACAAGGAAGACTTTCCTAATATTAAAAATTTTAGCATCAAAGTATCTTTTAAATTTTGGATCAACATACCTGTGTGAACAAACATTTTCAAGAACGTGAAGAACAGAAGAACAATTTGAGGAAAACTTGGACCTTGAGTGTGTTGTTGGCCCCGATAGTGTTTCTTTCAGACTTTTTTCTCCCGGAGGGGGGGACACTTGAAATTTGTATATATTTCTATATAAATTATATTTTCTTTGGGGGGGGGGGGGGGCGCCAACATCCACCCCGAAGAGATGCCTTGAAGAAACTCTGGCCCCCGAACTGATATGTGATAGTTAATGCGGCCCTCGGGCTGAAAAGTTTGGAGACCCCTGATCTAGAGTTATCATGAACCAACAGCTTATCCAAAACAATATTGAAAAGCACTGTGCTAGGAGGAAGAAGAAGGGGAAGGCAAAGGCATCACTGAATGGATGACATCAAGGATTGAACAAGGCTTGGCAGATAATTATAAGGTCTATTGTGGTTGCTGCCTGTTAAGAGATGAGGATGATATATAATATTATGTACAAGCCAACCCACGGCGTAGCATATGCTGCCATTTAGTTGTTTTATTTTCTACTTTCAAGTAATTCATAATTTGTGAATTCGCCACTACCAATGTTGCGACTGAAAATATATAGCTTTAAAACACTATTAGTAACTCATGAAGGATGATTATCTTCACCCTCCCTCCCTTAGTGAAAGCAACCATCTGTGACGAAAATGAAAAGATAAAGCAGAACTTGTTACCTCCTCTTAGTTTCAAATAGTTTAAAAACGACATTATCTGCTCCTAATAGCCATCACTAATTTGTGAGGGTGGTAGCCATATGGTCTGTTGTGTATGCCTGTACAGTGAGGAAGGGGTGGGTCAGCGTTCATACATGGTGGTTTGGTTATGGTGGTGTCCCGCTGGTCCCAGGTATTATAGAGAATTATATATATAAGTATATAAGTATGTATGTGTATATGTATATATGTGACATTCTTTTCGGCTATGATTTTAGGCACAGACGACTTTCACAGTGGTTTATCAATTTAAAAGAAGCACACTCTGACTGAATGGGTTCCATTCACTTTATTTGATCTTAATCAGAATCACTTTTCCAAGAATAACCAACAAACACCCAATGTCACAGGTCCATAAACTAGTTTGCTCTATATCTCTCACATTCTACTGACACTGTTCTCTCATCTCTCCCTTCTATTGTTCTCTGCGTTTAATCATTCTCTGATGGTTACACTTGTGGTAGCCTTGTAATTGTACCCAGTTGCCATTTTCTCATCAAACACATTGGATCCTTGTACTGCTAAATCTTGGATTTATGGGCACCACTGTCTAGGCTAATTAACTTTGTTTGTCTTCAAATGATCTCTACATTCTAGCTCCCTCTATGAATCCCTATAGTTGTTTTTTTCTGGTTGTGTTCCAGAGTCCAGAGCTCTCTATATGTTGGCTACCCTGGAATTTAGGGTTATCCCTAGGATCAATGAGTCATGACTTCTCTCTTCAGGAAAATGACTGTCACTTCAAGCTTGCAACATTATATGTATTTGTATGTATATATATGCATATTTATGCATAAATGTGCTTATGTATTACTAAGCAATAGACCTATTCTTTTATTTTCAGAGTTGCCTAAACAAAGTATTTGTAACTTGATAAATGATTATGGTGGTACAGCAATTTCAAATGCTTTAAAAGAGAATACATTAAATAAGAAGGAAGTGTGATCATCAAACACCTTTGCTAACATCATTAGCACTTACAGAAACTAAAAGGTTGGAGTTATCATTTACATATTCTGAATGTAGGCCTGCCTACTTAGATATATTTAAAAATTGTTTTCATTCTTTAATTCCAGTGTTGTTTTAAAATTATCCTTTTTATTTTCAAACATTTTCTTTGTTTTTACAATTAGTTTTTTTTAAAATTGGGAAAAATCAGTTTTTTGGAAGATAAATTTAATTAACAAGATTTAAATAACATGCTCAATTGAAATGAATGAACAAAATTTTTAAGAGTTTTGACCATACTTTTAAGTGTCACTGAATCAATTTCAAGTTGGGTTTTTTTAGTAGCTTCTGTGTATGATTTCCTTTTTAAGGAAATTTCAATAATTTATTTTCATAGAAAACAGAAAATTTAAAGCAACATTAATTTTGGGCCATATTTTAAAATAATTTTTAGAAACCAACCTATGATCTTTTTAGTTCTAGTTCTAGGGTATCAACTAGGTTTGTATTAATTAAGTTTGAAAGTACCCTTAACATTTCTAATTTATAAAACAATACTGCAACTTGTAGAAAACTACATCTCCCATAACTCACAAATAAATATCTTTATTGTGGGAGGAGGTAACTGGTCAATGAATGATGTCTAGGATTGGCTTGCCACCGTGGTAACCATGAATGACAACCAACATCACCTTGGATGAAAATTGAGGATAAGCTCAAAAATTTTTAACAATTTAAATATTTCTTTTATATATTTTTTATTAATAATAAAATTCTTATTTCAAAAACAGGGTAACATCAAAAGAAAAAAGATTTTTGCCATTTAATACACCCACTTCAAATACTGGATTACAGTTGCAAATTGATATGGTCCAGGATATTACTTTTAAACAGTATTTTTGGTTACCAAAAAGCACTATCAGGTAGGCCTATAGTTGAAAGTTTTTATGATTGACCCATCGAACAGTTTTTTCCAAACACGGGCAGAGACAGTTTACCAGAATGATTTAGACTATAAATATACAGATATTATAGTAGTAACATTTTCTCTCCTGATATGCAATAAAATGTGCTATGCTTATTATTATATCATGGGGGTGGGTGTCTTCTTCTTCTTCTTCGTTCTTAATTTTTAGTGTTGGGAGGGATCGAGCCTTATCTGCCAGAGGGTCTGAACTTGAGACTTTTTTTTTTCGAATTTATCAACCATGAGCTTTGCCGACTCGACCATGCTTCCATCACAATTAAGGATTATGTGTCAACAGGTTATGCGCCATTGAGGCCATTGACTCCGATTTCAGCCTGCTTTTCTTTTTGGATTTGCTTCCATAGCCTTTGTCCAACCAAGAACAAACTACAAGGCAGCAGTTGTTTGATTTTGGAGTTGTCTCTCCTAGAAGAGTGGCTGTCATTAGCTAACGAGCCTCATCTGCCCGAGGGTTCGAACTCGAGACTTTTCGGTTTAGCAACCATGAGCTTTACCGACTCGACCACGCCAACCCCTGGGGTGGGTGTGACATCAGTATTATTTGGGTGGGTCATCCATTTATGATGTCCACACAAAAATTATATGCTTTAGATATACAACCCCAACACACTCTCCCAACACTTCACACAAATATTATATTATAACCCCTTTTCATAACAGATTACCTGAGAAAATTGATCAATCAAAGAAATCTGTGTCAGTTAAGGATCTGAATAATAGCATAATACTTTCAGATGCCAATTCAAAAATAGTTCCATTATATCAGGTAAAATGCATTTAAATAAAATCTTAGCATTTTATGGTAGAAATGCTTTATTATTTTATCAAGTTTGTAATTTAGTATTACTGAACATTATAATTTTCTTAACATGAAAATGTAACATTTCTATTTCATACTCATGTTTTTCTTTTGTTTACACCTTACACAATTATACAAAAGAAATAAGTGTACTACATCTTTTACAATTGCAGAAAAAAAGATCCCAAGATAAACCTGTAAAATTGATTAACAAGCCAAATACTTCTGAAACTTCTAGGTAGGCCCTATTAAATATTTAAAGTGTAATATTTTATGAGATTTTATAGTGTTAAGAATATATATATATATATATATATATATATATATATATATATATATATATATATATATATATATATATATATATATATATATATACATATATATATATATATATATATATATATATATACATATATATATATATATACATATATATATATACATATACATATATATATATACATATACATATATATATATACATATACATATATATATATACATATACATATATATATATACATATACATATATATATATACATATACATATATATATATACATATACATATATATATATACATATATATATATACATATACATATATATATACATATACATATATATATATATATACATATATATATATATACATATATATATATATATATATATACATATATATATATATATACATATATATATATATATATACATATATATATATATGTGTGTGTGTGTGTGTATGTAGTCAGACAAAAGGCAGACAAAAACAAAAGGCCGGCACAGACAAAAGGCAGAAACTGGAATGAAATTCTAATTTTATCAGTAGGCTCATTTAGTCTGGTACAGGCATATGATCAGTCTACTTCATTTGATTTCTTTCATTTCTTTGCAAAATATTATGGTATTGCCACCTACCTGTTTATCCTTTGTACACTGCTGTCATCTCCAGTTACATGGACCCAATTGTTCACCTTATTATAAGGAGAGCAACTAGCATTGTCTCTTGACGTTCTGCCTTATTGCATGTGGCCAATGATGCCAACAGCTATTGTCTTGATTCTTCAATGACTGTCTATAGTAACCCATATTTTACTATATTTGTATTTTTGTGTTTGTCTGCCTTATGGTCTTTGGCCTTTTTAGGTGTCTGCCTTTTGTCTGTCAGCCTTTTTATGTCACCCTTTTGTCTATGTTGGCCTTTTGTCCTGTCTGTCTTTTGGATGCCGGCCTTTTGTCCTACAACCATATGTATGTACATAATCTTTCTGCCAAAGACACATGGGACAAATAAAATAGAGTTCATCTGTTTTAATAATCTCTGCATATGCAAGGATAGTGTGGTCAGCACTAAGCCCAGGCGCCTTAGTTTTCCCTAACTTGAGTCTTTATTGTGGGAGGTGGTAACTGGCTGCGTAGATCATAGCTAGAAATGAATGATGATACACCTGATACACCTGAACATTGAACCCTGCTGAAACAGCCTGAGCTCATCACAAACAAGTGGATAAACAAATGACTGAAACCACACATTCACAGAATACTGGACACATTCATAAAGGTGCATTAACATAACATTATTGATTAATTGGTGGTCAACTTATTGATAAAAGGAAAATAGTATTAATAAACAGAGTTCATTGGAACTTTGTCACCTGCATCATAGCTGGGTGGACTCAAGGATGTTATACAGATTCAAGACCAGGATCCAAACTCGAGGTATGCTCCATGAAAAACTTGAGTGTATTTTAATCACCCTCTGCTCTTGGGAGCCAAAGAATACACTTCATCAGGGCACTCTTTAAAATGAATGTAGGCACCACCCTGGGCGCTCCAGGCCACTAGACTGCTGGGTCAAACATTTTTTAACATCTGGGCTAAGTATTTTGAGGTATTAAAAGGTTTGTAAGCACTTTGAAATTGCACAAAATAAAAACATTTATTTGTAACCATTGTATGATTCAGCTTAATTCAGTTGTGGCAAGGGGTCATCCATAAATGACGTCACGCTTTTTTGGACGATTTTCCCCCCCCCCCCCCCTCCGTCACATGTCACAAAAAGCCAGCTCCTCCCCCCCCCCCCTAAAATGATGTTACACCCCAGCCTACAATGCCCCTCAAAATTGCTGTTGAATTTTTCTTAAAACATGGATATTTTTCCAAAATCTTGTTAGAACTGTCAACATTGAGTATTTTGATCAATTCCTATTACAATTTATTTAAGCCGTTTTCTAAAATGCGGAATAACGGCTAAAACTTGTTTTCTAACATTGCTTTTTTATAATGCAAAAGTGTGACATCACACTATCTAACCCCCCCCCCCCCTCATCACACACCATCACAAAATTACGGACCCCTCCTCCCCCCCCCCCCTATGAGTGTGATGTCATTTATGGATGACCCCCAACTCAAAAGATTTTTTTTAAGGTATTTGGAAATCAAAAGTAAATACCAAACAGAGGAAGCTAAATGTGACCATAAAAAAGTGAACACACTACAGCTGGCTTTTGAAAATCTATCAAACCAACCAAGAGAAAAAAGTTATTCTTTCAAATCAGAAGTTACACAAGTAGGCTTACCTAATCAAGATACTACAGAAATAGAGCACAGGGTCACAGAAAGTCCTGAATATAAAAAGGATATGTATCATGAACCTAACATTGATGCTGAGAGACGCAATTCCCTAACTAGAATGGAAGGTTAGTGTATTAAAAAATCAACAGTAATATTTTAGTATAGATGCATTAATAAAACACAGCAGGTCTATTAGTAAATTTTAAATATAAATTTTTGTCAATTTTGGAAGTTGATGAACCTGTATGAGACCCCTACACAATTCATCAACGTTATCCAACAGCTATGTAAGGACTCAAATGGCCAGAATATCTACAACAACAAGTTGGCTAACCCTATTTCATTGAAAACCAGTAAGGCAAGGCTGCATGCTTTTGCCAATTTTCTTTTTGATCATCATTGACTGGATCATGAGATGAACAATACAGACCAAAAAGCTGGAATTCAGTGGACCCTCACTAAACAGCTGGAGGACTTAGATCTAGTAGATGACATCAGCCTCCCATCACATTGGCAAGATTATGCCGGTCCATGCTAAGCAAACTCAGTGAACAGGTACTTAAGACAGGCATGAAGATTAACTGGAAAAAAACAGTGTTTAATGAGAACTAACAATAAACAATAAAGATATAAGAAATGACTATTTTGGAGGTGGATCGCTTCACATATCTAGGTGTAGTAAGAAAGGATAAGGGAGCAGATGAGGACATTGAAAGCCACATCAGCAAGGCCTGGTGAGAGTTCAACACCCTCTGCACAACATGGATGTCGAGAGCACTGTCTACACATTCCAGAATATGACTGTTTAACTGCATTTTGAAATCTGTTCACTTGTATGGTCTGAGACATAAAGAGTAATACAAACTAATAACAACAAACTGCAGACTTTCATTAGGGGATGACTCTGCTGCATATTGATCATCCAATACCATACTGTGTAGAAAAACTGGACAAGACCCTATTGGCATACTATAATTCATGTAATTGATAAACAATGGCACATTTTACAGCATATACAAACAAAAATTATCTTGAAATTAATATTTTCCTCCGTTTTTTTTTCAACAGACCATCAAAAGCCAGAGATTCAATCTTCTTGCAAACTCCCTGCCATCTCACTTGGCCTTCCAGAACTACCTAGTGGTTTGAAAACAACCAAACCATTTGTGTATAAAAATACACATTTTGACTTTACCCTAGGTTGGTGGATGTTTTTACATAAATATTTTCAGGTTAAAGCTCAATGATATATATATATATATATATATATATATATATATATATATATATATATATATATATATATCTATATATATAAAGCAAAGTGGTCAGGTGCCCGATAGGGCACTTCCCGGCGCCGCAGGCGCGTCAAATTTGGCACGAAGGTGCCTTATGGCGATAGAACACGAGGGCCGGTGACGGTTCGGCAAAAAGTCTACGGAGAGGGGGTCAAAACTGACCTCGACTGACCGGCGCCTTATATGGGCTATATAACAAAAAAAAATTCCTCCGACGACCCCCCTTGAAATTTTGTGAGGTAGTAGGAGAACACCTTGGGGTGTCACAAAAAACTCGGCATATCTGGGAAAACTTCGTAAAGGGGTCAAAACTGACCAGTTGTATTTCCCTATATAATCTTTGTATTTTATGGGAAAAACAGAGGGTCATTTCAACGCAGACTTTAGGGTACTTAAGCTCAGTATATCTGGCTAATTTTTTGCATGCTCCTAGGTCAATGGCTTGACCTTTAGGGAAAACTGTCGGTTACACTCAAAGCCCTCGACGAGGGTTAATAAGTGACCGCGAGTGAAATTCTCTTTATATGAGCTCTATTACGAAAAAAAAATTCCTCCGACGACCCCCCTTGAAATTTTGTAAGGTGGTAGGAGAACACCTTGGGGTGTCACAAAAAACTCGGCATATCTGGGAAAACTTCGTAAAGGGGTCAAAACTGACCAGTTGTATTTCCCTATATAATCTTTGTATTTTATGGGAAAAACAGAGGGTCATTTCAACGCAGACTTTAGGATACTTAAGCTCAGTATATCTGGCTAATTTTTTGCATGCTCCTAGGTCAATGGCTTGACCTTTAGGGAAAACTGTCGGTTACACTCAAAGCCCTCGACGAGGGCTAAAAAGTGACCGCGAGTGAAATTCTCTTTATATGAGCTCTATTACGAAAAAAAAATTCCTCCGACGACCCCCCTTGAAATTTTGTGAGGTGGTAGAAGAACGCCTTGGGGTGTCACAAAAAACTCGCCATGTCCGGGAAAATTCGGTAAATGGGTCAAAACTGACCAGTTGTATTTCCCTATATAATCTTTGTATTTTACGGGAAAAACAGGGTAATTTCAACACAATTTTTAGGTTACTTAACCTCTGTACATCATGTTAATGTTTTGCATACACTTTTATTGATGACTAGGCCGTATGGAAAAACTGTTGGTCAGACTCAAAGCCCTCGACCAGGGCTAAACGATGACCGCGAGTGACATTCTCCTTATTTGAGATATATATAAATAAACTGACGAACGATCCCCTTAATATTATTTGAGGTCGTAGACCGACCCTGGAGGGTAACAAAAAAAAACGTTATTCCCGTCGGGAAAAGCCATTGTAGTCGTTAAATATGTTCATATATTGTATTTTCTAATATAAGCATAGCAACTGTTTGTTTTAAAAAAAAGTAAACAAGGACATTTTCAAGGGAGGTAACCTTTTTAAATAATTTTTTTTCAAATAATTGTATATAATTTTAAGCAGAAACAGAAAATGACAAAGTATAGCATTTGTTTTAGTAAAAATTTAAGTTGTTAATTCAGCTAAGTATCATAATTAAATAAAAAAATTAATTTTAAAAGTCAACGTAATGTAAATTATGAGATATACTGTTCATGGAACCTCTGTAGTTCTAATTCCATTTTAGTTATAAATTGCCTACTTCAGTTACTTTCTCTGAAAACAAATCGTAAACAACATACAACAACATCTTCTCTAAAATTAGCATTACTGTTTAAAATGTAAGCACTCCACACCTCATCCATCAATAAATAATTAGTATTCAAATTATCTAATGTTTTTGAAAACCTAAGCGAAGCTAGGCAGTATGCCTAGTATATATATATGTTAACAACAAAGAGATTAAGTTTTATAGTGGGCCAGAAACAGGTGGGGGCTGGGTATCATGGAGGGAAGAAAATTTGAGGGGGGAAGCAGTAGTATTAATGTGTCTGATCACTTCCCTGATGGACCATGAGGGACATAAATTACATAACATACCACCCCAGATTGGCTGAGATCTAAGAACGGTTCCATGACAAATTATCTCAGACAAAATATCTCACGGACGAATGATCTCAGGACATATGATCTCACAGACAAAAGATACCAGGACAAAATATATCAAGACAAACGATATCATGGACAAATTATCTCAGACAAAATATCTCGGTCAAAATATCTCACAGAAAAATGTTAATAGTGTATTGGATGATTTTAGTTGATCTGAACATTTTTTTATTGATTGTCATATGGTTTTGTTTACTATATTTAATATTGTTTATAGGCCTATATAATAATTGTAAGAAATGTTTGCTACATAAATTGGTCATATTGCACTCAACATTTTAAAATTAAGATTACTAATATAGTATGCGAAGATTAAAGAAATGTTTTGATAGACAGAGTAGTTGGGCTTGACAAACTTGAGACAATCCTACCATGTCAGGTGGACAAAACTAGATCAAAGGGAATGAAAAAAGACACACCTTTGCATCAAGACAGCGACATGCCTTAAGGGAAAAGACATCTGCCCTCCATGACAATACAACTAGCATCTTAAGTCAATAGTTATGCATGGGTCATACCTTAGTGATCAGGTGACAACTGCTTACTTAAACAACAGCAGTCACCGCTGTGCTTAGTTTGTCGTAGTGTGCATGCAAACAAAGCAGTATTAGTGGTGATTACTTAGCAACGGCCTCTTTTTTTTTAACTCACAGAAAGGGTATAGGACCTTAGTTTCTGGTGAATTTATGTTTATAAAACCCATAAGCAGAGCAGCAGGCAAAGAGATTTGGAAATGTGAAATTAGAACATGTTGAGCAAGAGTTCACACAATACATGATTGTAAAGTTTTGGAGAATTGTAATCATAACGATGTACCTGCAAGCAAAAAAACGTGTTATGTTTGTGTTGAAGATGCAATAAAAACAATAGTTGTATGTTACAACCTGAAGACTCATTCAAATTTTTGAAAAATATTTCGTGTGTTTTGAACATTAATGTTGTATAGATAACATTACTTTATTTGTATTATACATTATCATTAATTATACCTTTCAGTTTAAAGGAGTAAGTTTGTTTTAATTTTTACTTTTTCAAATCAAATGCTATTACAAAGATTAAGTTTAATAAATCTTTTGATGCTTTTTTATGTTTAACAAATTCATTTTATTTACAATTATTATGCGTAAAAAAGTAAACAAAACCATACTGACAGTCACTTAAAAAAAAAGTTCAAATCAACTAAAATCATCGTACATACTATTAAAATTTTGCTGTGAGATCTTTTGTCTGAGATCATTTGTACTGAGATCATTTGTCCATGATATATTTTAAATTTGTCCTGATGTATTTTGTTCTGGTATCTTATGTCCGTGAGATCATTTGTTCTTGAGATCATTAGTCCTGAGATTTTTTGTCTGTGAGATATTTTGTCTGAGATAATTTGTCCTGAGATAATTTATCCTGTCACCCTAAGAACATGTATCCCTATTACTTATAAAGAGATTAGAAGTTTTATGGTTGGTTATAAAGAGGTGGAGGCAAAGTCGGTTGTATTGCCCTTAAGGGGTAATAAGTATGTGTACCATTTTAAAAATTATCTGGCTAACATCAGATGTCTGAATTTTTGCTTTTTAGAAGGTTAGAATTGTATTTCTAACACAATTAATAGATTTTGTGTTAACTATTCCTATACCAGTGTATATTCAGTGGTTTAATGAATGATAAACTTGCACCAATGGCAACAAAAGCCACACAACAATATCTGTATTAACTAGAACATGCAAGCTAGTGGACAAAATTGATGTATTCATGTAGATTTAGTTATTATCTAACACATAAAACCATTATGATTTTGATCAGTCAAGTTTTACTCTGATATGATAAAAACTTTATAGCAAGGTAAAACCCGGACAAAAGTCGGCCATTTTGTTTTTGCATCAACAATCAGTGTGGAAAAAAAATTCACCATAATAATCTTATTCCAGCCAAGTTATAAAAATGGTGTTAAAATGTACAGCAACCAATGCTTTAATACAGGAACAAAGAATGGTCTTGAAATACTCATTTGGCTTATTACAAAGTGAAGTTTCCCAAGTTGTGTCTATATGGGAAAAAAATTCACAAAATGGTTTTATGGAGGTGAGCAATTTTAGGGAAAGAGCAGCAGGATTAATTCCTGTCTGGTCTTCTCCCTGCTGGACCAAGTTGGTCATAAATTAATTACATAAAATGAATCCTCTGCTTCTCTGTTATAAAAAAAACAACAGTAGTGGTTGTTACCTCAGAAGTAGATTAGTAGTTTTGTGGGGGTGGGGTGCTGATCGGGTCCTAATTCCACACAGCTCTTAGTGCCCTGCTTTTATATATATATATATATATATATATATATATATATATATATATATATATATATATATATATATATATATATATATATGAGTCCTGCAGATTTTTACATTTATTAATATGTACAATTTTAGGTCCTGTTTTTAGCCCTCCTTCCACTGTAAGAAGTGTAATTACAGATGTGATCAATACAACAGATAAACAGAGCAAAATACCTAATGTAAGAATTCATTTTTAAGCTTTTATTTTGGGCAGGTGAGCTGACATTCATGACTTTTAATTACGTATTTAGACAAGGCAAGGACAGATTATAGATCTACTTTTACAGAGTGATTTCATCTTTATATACCAATATTAGTGACATTGTGTTGATTTTAGTCTCAATAATGAAGTGCTTATAATGAATAAATTAAGTTGGCTAGTAATTTTTTTATACCTAAGTGTCCTAAAGTATCTTATATTACAGTAGGGCCTATCTAAATACTAAAAAGTAGAAAAATAAAAAAAAACGAGCGTATCATACGCAGCTATTTAGGTGTTTTATTTTCTACTTTTCAGTATTTCATAATTTGTGACAGTACCAATGCTGCCAATGAAAATATTTGCTTTAAAACACTATCAGTAGCTAGTTAAGGATGATAACCCCTTCCTTTCCCCCCAACCCCTACCTCCCCCCCCCCGTGAAAGCAACCTCCTCTTAGCTACCTCCCCTAAGTTTAAAATCGTTTCAAACTAAATTATCTGCCCGTAATAGCCGTCACTAAACCCGGCTCTACGATTGTAAACATTTAGCATGAACCACAGCTCACCAGACCATGTGGGGGTGGGTGTGATAGCAATATGCCTAGAGAGGAAGAGAAGGGGCTGCTAGGAGGCGCGCTTACAGCTTGGTGTTTTATATTGTCTCCAAGAAGAGAATTATATATATAGATAACAAAGCTTTAAAAATCTACTATTTTAGATGCTGTTTAATTTTTTGTTTTTATTTGAAAATCTTAAACTTACATTATAAAAAAAAAATATACCAATTTTAGAAAATGTACCAATTTAAAAAATTTTACTTTTCAATTTACATAGAAGAATGAGAGTCCATCAATTAAATTGACAGTGGATATACCTGTTGCATTATCTACATTTGAGAATAGAGCAGAGAAACTTCAATTTACTAGACATTTAAAAGAAGCCAAAGAAAAGCAACAGCTCACTACAAACTTTGAAAAACAAGGTAAAATTTAGAGCAACAGTTTAATAGTATAACAATTTATCAAGTAATAGTACACACATTGTACAAGTGAGGTATGCACATGTTGTGCATCATTCTATCCATGCTGTTTGCCTAAATTCTTATCACCCGGTCACCCCTCATCATACAAATAGCTTTAAGAAACCTAAACTTTCTATGATATTAAGGGTTATCAATTAGTCAAGTCCATGTTTTACAGAATTCTAAAATGGACGACCCCTTTTACATTTTTAAACCTAAATAGATAATTATTATACTTTTCCTTACTTAAAAATTATGCCTAAACTTTGGATTCTCAAATTATATTTATGTTATATAAACATAGCTGAGCAAAGGACTGCAACAGCATATATCCACTGCATTAAGTTCTTTAAGGCCCTGTAAATCCCCATAGCTTTGCTTTTATTGTAAATCCTCCATGATTTTCCACTTAACCTATGGGTTCCACTCTAGTACCTGCTTGGCAATATTTTCGTCCATTCTTTTCAGTCCATCCATACTTTGTGGTTTTGCTGTCTTTGTCAATGGGATTCTGTGACATGTGTTCATAGGCGATTCTTTCTGGTCTTCTTATTTGGAGGATATTTCAAAGGCATTGGCTTGTAGCTTGTTGGCGACTCTCCAGGCCCCATGAATAGACAGCCTTAGAGTTTTGGATTCTCACCTCACTCCTGACTTAGGGAGTTAACTAAACATATGGCCTTGTTTATAACATGTTCCCATTTCTTTGTTTACTATGTGCTTCTTTGATTTTTGCATAATTTCTCATGGTTTATCTGATGCGGTGGTCTTGATTGCTATAGATTCTGACAACTTGTTTTACTTTTATTGAGCTCTACTTTAGAAGCTTTCTCAGAAAGTTTTAGCGCGTTGCTTGTGACATGCAAAATCAAGATATTCAAGCTTTTTATCGAATCTCAATAGCTTCCTGCCTAAATATCATCGATGAAAGCATGTGTCTCTACTTCACTCCTGTCTTCACTGTAAAATCATTTGTTAGTTTTCCCTTGCCAATTACCTGACATGGTTCATTCCTCATACTGTTTCAGCATTATGGTTATAAATTTTGTGGTTTAATGGCTCAATAGCTTCCAGATTGGTAGCACATTTACCTTATTACCAGCAAAGATTTCTAATAAGTCCTAGAGAACAGTTTATTTTTTTAAATTATTTGACTTTTTAAAAATTTATCTACTGCTAAAGTTTTGATGTGTGTACATGAGTTATTGTAGGACCATAATCTGTAAATTGACAACAATAAATTGTCTTTCTATATAGAAAATGATGTTTGTTCTGAAAAAAGTCGATCAATGGAGTCCTTCAATTCACTAGATCAGTGGCCAATAATAAATGAATATGAATATGATTCATCAACTTCTCAAATAAAGCTAGGTCAAAATTTAAGGTATGGAATATAAAGTAAACTTTCATTATTATCTCAATCTTAAATTGAATAAAAAAGAATACATATAAATCACTGATTATTAAAAATATATAATTCTTTCCCTAAAATTTTTTTAACCATCAGATATAGCAGTAAAGGAATCAAATTAAGACAGAGTGAAGACTTTGGTACTGATGTAAATCAAAACCCTGATTTGATAAGTAAAGATGAGAAAATGAAAGTGGAGTCTCCAGCACCTCCTCCTCCATCACCAGAATCTAAAGTGCAGAGAGATATATCAGCTGGAGATTAAAAAGAATTTCTACAATGAAAACCCAGAGCTATAAATAACAGATCGTATTTCATTTTATGTCCAAGATTTATTTTCTTAATTTAAGAATTTGTTTATGTAGCACTACCAGCTCAGAGGAAGATTAAAATTATGAAGTGTAATAACCATTATAGTTGTTCTAACCAGAGGTGTGTGTGTGTGTGAGGGGGGGGGGGGTGCAAATCGCACCAGTGACACCATTAAGTTGGGTTGACATCAAGGGAAAAAATAGCAAAATATATACAGAAAATGATAATTCCACTTACTTATATGATCTTCTTCTACTTCGTTCTTAATTTTTACTGTTGGAATGGATCCCCCTCCAACACAATTGGATACATGTCGACTGGTTATTCGCCATTGAGGCCATCGACTCCAATTTCAGCCTACTTTTCTTTTTGGATTTGCTTCCATAGCCTTTGTCCAACCAAGAACAAACTACAAGGCAGCAGTTGTTTGATTTTGGAGTTGTCTCTCCTAGAGAGTGGCTGTCCCCAGCTAACGAGCCTTATCTGCCCGAGGGTTCGAAATCGAGACTTTTAGGTTTAGCAACCATGAGCTTTACCCTATCGACCATGCCGACCCTTATATGATCAATTAGAGTGAGTTAAACAGTCTTTTAAGAGCAAAGTTAACAAATCCCTATGTGGGTGGGGAGGGGGGGGGGGGGGTCACACTATGATGTAAACCTGCTAATGATAGAGAAAACATGCTACATCCAGCTGTATTTATAACCGACTATTGATAAAAATCATTAGTATTATCTAAATACGAATACATCAACTCAACTTTACAAAATATGCCAGAGCAAAACGGTTTGGTTGAGAATCATAATAATATGTGTTAATCCATGTGTGGAAATTAAGTAAATACATCCAGAAAAAAAATATATTTGAAAACAAAAACACATACTTAAAAGGGTATATGGTGTATATATATAGGCCCTATATAAATGAATAATTTTATTTAGAGGGGAGAGACCTGAGATACCATTAGGTGCTGCACCTGGTGACACTCGACCTCAATACGCTACTGGTTCTAACACTTTATTTTGAGACACGTTTCATTATATAGAATACTTTAAATTCAATTCTCCATTCCTTTTATCTATTTAAAAACAGAATTAAAAAAAACAACTCTATAATAAAAAAAGTTTGTTTCACATCTTTATTAAACATTATAGTTCATTTAATTTTAATTGAAAAAAAATTGTCAGGATTTAAAACGTTTTACAAACTGAACTCCACCTTTGAAAAATCCTGTTTGACCATCAAGATCCTTCAGTATATCATCTTTATCTCGTTTTCTAAAAATAGAAAATTTTATTAAAATTTTAAATCATTGAGTTTTAATGGGTAGATTGTACATGTTAAAAAGATTAAGTGACTGTGTGAAATGACGAAAAATGGACTCTTACTACCCTTGTGGTTGGTTTATTCTCTGGCAATAATATTACTGCAACAAGTGATCAAATCAGTGCACTTCAGGCTTTTCAAGGGTTGAGGTTTGGTTCCAGTTTTGTCATTTATATTTTATACTTTTTTGTATGCGTTGTTTTTTGTGATAGAACTTTTTCATGTCTCACATAGGCTAGTTTTTATTAAATAATAACAAAACCTTCAAAAATTAACTAGATCAAGACAACAGCTAACTAGGCCCACCCATTTTGCCAGCCGTGTATTTGAATGGAAAGAAATCTAGCAGAAGACAAATTTCTGCTGAATGGCAGTGAACAGTCAAACACATCACAAAACCACACCTTAAAAAGTAAAAACTAACCCATCAAATCATAACATCGTAGCCATTTAAAAACAAACACGTTCTCCACAAATCATGTTCTAGGCAATCGATTAATTTTCATGATTAAAATTGATATCAAATTAATAAAGGTAAATAAATGTAGTTTTTAATTATTTAAGTAATCTTGAACAATAAATGGATTTTAAAATATTAGGCATCACCCTACTTTAAAGTAAAGTATAATCTTTAAAAAAAATTGTTCATATTTTTATAACATCAAATTAAGATACTAAACTGAATTTGACTCAAGGATTAGATTAGACTCAGTAGATAAGACTCAAATTTTGTAAATCAAGAAAGTGAAAAAGTATATTATTGAATCCTGGATAATTGGGAAAAGGCATGAAAAGCTGGTTCCAAATGGTTCCAAATTTTTATTGCCAGAAAGCATAGTTTTCAACCAAAATTGAATATTTGTGTGATAAGTACAAAATCACTTCTGGTTTTATTAAGGCTAGAAATAGTCGAGCAAATAAATACTAGTAATATAATAGTAATTTACCAAACAATTTTATTTTTTATTTGGATTAACAGAGTAAGGGTGTTGTGGTGATAGGAGATGTTATATTATTTAATAGAAATACAATACTAGACTATACATCATAGATCACTTTTATGTATTTTATCATGGAAAACAATTATTCTGACTTTCATTGTTTTATTCTCCCTGGCCATTCCAATTGCCTTCAAATACCGCGTTTAAACTTACGCCATGTATACTATACATTTCTAGAACACAAAGCCCGCCAAAAGTTAATTTTATCTGGAATAATTTTCTCCACAGAACATGTATACTTTAGCGTTCACACTTACAGAATATGTTATAGAACATTTTATAAAACATGCATCACCTTTGACCCGGAGCGTCTGCTATATAGGCCCAGATAATTAAAATAAAGAGTAATCAGAGTAAAAAAAAAACGTAGATAGTGGGCACACAACTTTATTTTTTTTTAAAAGGAAAATGGTATAGCCACGGTGCTTGCGATTCAACAATGAATTATCTAAAAATTAGAGAGCATGCAAGATTTTATACATTTTATTGGAGTGCCAGCAAATGGGGCTAGACAGTTTTTATAAATATAATGCTATGTATAATACCACGGGTCATAGACATTACCCATATGTTATTACCCCTCCCTCCCATCCCGCAGTACAATCACCCCTTCCCACCCCATCACCATGGTAGCCACTTCCCCAGGTTCATTGCTTGTCTATTTCCTTCAGAAACAGCTTCGGATGAACAGGGCTAAATATTTGTTTGCTGAAAGGCTTGATTTCTTCGAAAACTTGCATCTGCCAAGTTCATTAAACGTATTGAGTTAAACGTATTGAGATCGCGTTACAACTATACTGAGTCTATTATTAAGAAAAAAGTAGATCTACTTTTTAGAGTAGGGCCTATGTGACACTCATTACCCCATGGGAATAAGTAATTATAAAAATGTAATTTTTAGTAGGGCCTAGAGAAGTTATAAAATATGAAATCGTGGGCTCAAAAACTCAAGATCAGTATAGCCTATTTAATTTTGCAATCAGCTGAGACCCTGGGCCTAGGATGCGCTTACTACTTTTCAACGCATGCGCACTCCTCTGAAAATTCAGAACATGTCCTAAGTTTTCGCTCAGCGAGCGAAGACAAAAACTTGACCCAGAACATAAAAAGGGGCGTGGTTTTGTGCCCTGCGACTCAGAAGATGTTCCATATACCCATAACATGTTTAGCATACACTTTAATAGGTCAAGTCTAGTATACATGTCGTAAGTGTAAAGGCGGTGAAAGAGAGGTTGAGGGCGCTTTTTTAAAATATAAAATTTAAAGAATTGATAAAATAATTCTAAACGGCTTTTTTTGAGCTTATATTCAATACAAAAATAAGAAAATAAGTGTAATCAATGGTTCCCAAACAGCTTTAAGTTTATATGTAACTATATTTTTTATCTCTTGTCATATTTTTTTTAAAGATTTAAAAAATTTTAGTATGATTACATAGACTTTTCTAGACTATAGTGGCACCCATGAATAATTATCAAGATTTGTTTTAGATCATCTTTACCTTTTACTTCTGCCCTTTTTATTGTTCTCAGGTAAACCTTTGCTCGCTTCTTCTTTCTTCTTCTCCTTGATCATTTTAGTATATTCTTTGATGTGATAGCAGCGGTTTTTTGGAGGCTAAAACAATGCATTTTATATGTTATCAACAACTGAGGTGAATTTGTTTAAAAACACATGATTAGCAAAGTGCATGAATCCATTTGCTAAGTAGATTTAAACAAAAGATTACAGATTCATTAATTTTTAAATAAAACTTGCTTTAACTAATGCTTAATTCATTTTACATTTAATATCTTGATTATCTTTTAAAATAAAGAGGTTGTACCCCATTCTCTCATATAAATGCAATAAACAATACAGTCCTTTCATACAACATCACGGATCGTTCAGTATGCAAACATCCACCATCGCAGGGTACTGGTCTGCATTCTTCTTCTTCTTCGTTCTTAATTTTTAGTGTTGGAAGAGATCGAGCTTTATCTGCCAGAGGGTTTGAACTCGAGACTTTTTCGAAATTAACAACCATCTTCTTTTTCTTCTTTGTTCTTAATTTTTAGTGTTGGGAGGGATCGAGCCTTATTTGCCAGAGGGTTTGAACTCGAGACTTTTTTTTTCGAATTTATCAACCATGAGCTTTGCCGACTCGACCATGCTTCCATCACAATTAAGGATTACGTGTCAACTGGTTATGCGCCATTGAGGCCATTGACTCCGATTTCAGCCTGCTTTTCTTTTTGGATTTGCTTCCATAGCCTTTGTCCAACCAAGAACAAACTACAAGGCAACAGTTGTTTGATTTTGGAGTTTCCTCTCCTAGAAGAGTGGCTGTCCCCAGCTAACGAGCCTCATCTGCCAGAGGGTTCAAACTCGAGACTTTTCGGTTCTGCAACCATGAGCCTTACCTACTCGACCGCGCCGACCCCGGTCCGCATTCAAATTGGCAATCTGTGCTGTGAAAGGTTGTGATACTTAAAGTGGCAGATCTAAAGGGATTCCTTTATTTTGACTGCCAAGGGTTATATTAAACCAAGGTGATAGAGATCGGCAGTCAACAGAACGTATACACTGTCAATTTTTAGCCAATATTTATCGACGTGGTGTGAGTGAAGCAGCAGCAAATAAAATGCGAACATGTTCTCGACACTTTGTTTTTGGTAGGGACAGTAAACAATAAACTTCATTTTAATTAACAAAAAACAACTGTTAATAAAACAGATATACTCGGCCTAGAATCTACTTATTTAATTAAATTTAATAACAAAATTAATTAAATTTAGTAACAAAATTCAGACCTGTATTCGATTCCTAATACACCAATAATTAATAAATAAAAAATAGGCCTAATAATAAAAAATTTAATTGTCTCTAAGATCTATAATCTAGCTCTAGATTCTAATCATTCTATTTAGCAAACAAAGTTATCTGAAATTGAAATAGATTGTATGACTAGACTTAGATCTAGAATCTGCTACTTAAGTTATATTTTAAAAGTAGTTGATATTTTTGTTGTAGAAGGCTTTAATAAATTACTTAGGCCTACCTACTATGTGTCTAATTACAGTACTAGGTATCAGATACAGGACTGAGTTTAGATAAATTTAGGAGCAGATCAGTGGTACTGGTTTCCCCTTTGTTGCCCTGAGGGTAATAAATTACATAAGAGATGTTATCTCTGGTTGGCTGAGATCTAAGAGCAGCAATCCATGATACCTACAAAGACATCATGTTTTATGATGGGTTAGAAACAACTGGGGGCTGGGTGTGAAGTATCATAGAGGTGAGAAATTTTGAGGGGAGGGCAGTGGTACTGAATCGTCTTTGGTCTCCACCCTGCTGGACCATGATGGTCGTAATTTACTTAGCATACCATCTCTGCTGGGCTGAGAACTAATCAATGTTACCTACAAAGTTTTATGGTGGGCTAGAAACAGGTGGGGGCTGGGTATCATAAAATGGAAAAAAAGTAACAGGAAAAAAAACCACAGAAAAAAGTCAGTTTTTTCTAGGAAAAAAATTCACAATGGAAAAATTTTATCGGAAAAAAAGTCACAGAAATAGTCACCGAAAAAAGTCACAAAAATCTTTTCAGCAATATTTTGATTTATTTGTTGAAAATTATAAAATTTGGTATTTTTATTGTTTTGGGTTGTATTTTTTGATAGCATATATTATTTATAGAGGTTAAAAGCATTATGGTTTATAACAATTATAAGTAAAAATACTCTAAGATAATTTACACAACAATCTCAACTTTTGCTACGAATTTAGTTAAATATGCGGTAGAAAAGTTAATTATAAAAGAAATTTAGGCACATCATTGTGTTTTGCATATGTTTTGCCGTAGGCTATTCTCTGGTAGGCCTTTCCTCAGTCGGCCTTGTCCATACATATTGTGTGTTGTTGACGTTTTGTGTCAATGACAGCCTTTGAACCTTGTCGGTTTTCTGTTTTGATACTATGCTTTGTTATGTAATGAGCGTGATAAATGTGGGCAGTAAAGGTGGTTGAACTAATCATAACTACGAGCCGCCCCGCGGCGTATCATACGCCGCTATTTAGTTGTTTTATTTTCTACTTTTCAGTAATTCATAATTTGTGAATTCGACAGTACCAACGCTGCCATTGAAAATATTTGCTTTAAAACACTATCCCCCTCCCTTTCCCCCAACCCCTACCCTACACCCCCCCCGTGAAAGCAGCCCCCTCTTAGGCCTAGTAACCTCCTGTAAGTTTAAAATCGTTTCAAACTAAATTATCTGCCCCTGATAGCCGTCACTAAACCCGTCTACGATTTGTAAACATTAACGTGACCACAGCTCACCAGACAATGTACGGGGTGGGGTGGGGGGTGGTAGTGATAGTGACAGAGAGGAAGAGAGGGGATTGTAAGGCGCGTTTGCAGCTTGTTTTCTAACGGCTCCCAGAAGAGAATTATATATATAGATTGCTGCGATGAGTTGAGGGGAGCAAGTCAGAAAAACTTACCATTTCACTGTAATTTAATGTTAGTATTTAAAAAAAAAACACTATGAAAAATGAGAACATTGGAACATTCTATTAAATGCTATTAATATTATGTTTAACATTATTACAATCAACATACTTCATACTAAATATTTTTAAATGAATTATAAAAATTACCATACGTATACAACCTACACACATTACATTACATTTAATTCGTCCTAAGTTAATTTTGCACTCTCTGAATATATAATTCATAAAAGTATTAACAAATTCCATGCAAATATATATTTGTGACTTTTTTCCTGTGTTTTTTTCCTGTGACTTTTTTTCCTGTGACTTTTCTTCCTACAATCCTGAGTATCATGTAGGTAAGACATTTTAAGGGGGAAGCATCGAAGGTGTAGGATCAGTTCCCTGCTGGAATTACATAAATTACATAACATGCTACCCAGATTGGCTAAGAAGTAAACTTAGAAGTAAATAAGCAGTTTTATTGGGGGTTTTGTAGAGTTAAGTGGTCTGACATTTGTTACTGTAGTGTAGATCTATTGCTACTAGTTCTTTTACTGAACTAGAGAATCTAGAATCTTTACTAACTAGATGTAAATAATCTATATTATAATACTGCATTTTATGTCAACACGAATATAAGGATCTTCAATTTATAAATGTATTTTTACGTACTGTTCCTGTCAGTGCGAGGCTCTTAACATATGATGAACACATGTTGAGACACGCCAAGCACTGCGTGTCAACTGATAATTTACTGGCGGTGTTCACCACCGTGGCGGCGGAAGTAGGTATCACGTGATTTAGGTCAGATGTTTGCAAAGGACTCTTTATACTTTCCAAGTATACAAAAAGAAAGCAGGGTTGATATCCCCCTAACTTTCCTGTATTTTAAACTTTTAAAATGTGTGTAATAGAGCAGAATATGTGCGTCATTCAGAAAATATTGATTATTTTTCAGATTTTATGTCACAATGCATTATCAGCGAGTCTTGATCTACTTGAGAAGTTAGAAAAATTTGGTCCAGTAGAAATGGTCAAAATTATGTCATATGTACAATAGACACAGGAATCAAGATAAATACATATTAGTGGTTTTATGGAAAATCTGAAACCGTGTAAAGTAATACTTCCAGTCAACTGAAATCATTCAAAATTTGAAAGAAGCTATTGAATAAGATAATATACCTATATATGAAATTTTGTCAATTTACCTGAAATGGTAGGGAATCATTCAAAAGTTGATAAAGAGCTACAAGTTTGATAAGATACATATATGTGAAATTTCTTCAACATAACTGAAATTAGTTCACAGACAAACACACAGACAAAATTGCCAAACTAAGTTTTTCAGAATCAGGGAGGTGTATAACATCAAGATTAAAATTTGTCAAATTCTCGATTTTGACTTCTTGCTGGATTACATTATACTTCATATACAAACAAGCATGTAAAAAGAGAACAACTTCAGTTGCTGATGGTCATGTGAAATGGTTCTATAGTTAAGTGTATTTACTGACCTTGGCTCCTAATTCTACAAGCAGATCAACCATTGCACTGTGTTTAGTTTGTTTGTCCATCCCACTTATTCCCAGTTTCCTTATATCATATTTTGCCTTTTTCTGGTTATAAATTAAGGGTTGTGGATTTCCTTCAGTAATTTTCTGAGGATGAGACAAACATTTAACAACTTACAGTTCAAAAGTATTCATTCAACTTCAACTAAGATAATAATTTTTCAGAAATATTGATGAAGTAAAACATTACAATTTTATATAGGGGCCTGCATACTAACAGAAAATAATGTCGGAGTAGGAAAAAATTTAATAATGAATTAATAAAATTTAATGGATTAATACAAAACTATAATGTTTAATTTGATTTTTAGTTGTCTGGGTTAGTTCCTGTGGATAAGATTTCATGGAAACAATATCGAATGGCAAATTACTATAACACATAAACCACTCTCACTATGTTCACGCATAACCCTATTCTACACCTTCACACCTGAATTCCAGACCACCCTCTTCTTTGAGTAGCCTATCATAGACATAGTGCTTTGCCCTCTTGAAAACAAACGTAGGCGCCATAGTAGTAAAGGGGCAGACTGGGGGGCTCTTGATGATCCAACCACAGGAGGACACGCCTGCTGCAGAAAGCCCAATCAGCAGATACCAAATGCTAAGATAGCCACTGGGGAACTCAGGGCGTCAAAATTGAACCATACCCATCCTGTGTGTTGCATGACCTAAGTTGTAATGGCCCCTCGTTTAGTTTAGTCATCACACTTTTAAAAACAAAAGTAGGCACCATAGTGCTCATGGGGAGCCAGGGTGCCTGATTCAGTTTAGTCAACGATTATTGTAGTCCATCATGTCAGTATAAATAAAATAATTTTAATGCTTTTTCATACTAATAAGTAGCTACTTGGGGACAGAGCAGGCTAAAGTTTGTACAAGAAGAGAAAGTGTTTAGTGGGTAGTGGGCATGTTGAGGGTCAGGTGGTGCTGATGTGTTTTGCTGACATGGTGCAACATATACTCCACATTTTTAAAGCATGCATATTTTCTAACACACCTGCAACAGCTGTTTTTCTTGATGATGTTTCTTTGCTGATTTTTGGGGATTGTTGAATACTACAACCTCAACTGGTTTCTTTAATACAGCTGACATCTTTGATGAAAGCTTTAATAAAAAAAAACAATTTTAGAAAATAAAATAAAAAGGAATAACTAATTTATTATTTAAAATATTTTTTTAACATGCATACTAAGGAAATCAAGCCCAATGTTAGAACCTACTAAAGATGCTAACTAGCCTTGACTGTGGTATCCAATTTAACTATTTAAAAAAAATTATAACAATTATCAGGGATGGTTTTACCAGGTTTTCCATTGCATCTTACTATTGGACCTTTTATTCCAAATAATTTAATATTCAATGAACACTGGAGGTGTTCTATCATTTTATTACTGGCAGTTATGCAGTAGTGCAGTTATAATACCCTTCTATTAAACATATATTATTAAAATAAACCAGGAGTGATCTCTCCTAAACTTTCTAGAATATTCTTATATAACACTACGGAGGATGGCAACTCAGGAAATAGACATGATTTTTATTAGCTTTTATTTAACTTAGTGTCTCTGTCTGTCGAGGATGAAACACCCAATTGAAATTTCGGGCATTTGTAACTGACAGATTCGGTTCGAAGTTGCCATGTGGGTCAAGACATGAAGAGAATGCAATCTCACATTAAATTTGACTTGATTGAATGCCTAATTAGTTTTTTTATTAATTAGTTAACATTTTTGTCCAAATTAGTAGGCAGTCGTATCCAACTATTCCGCACTATTATACGCGCTTTGTCTTGTTCATAAGGTGGCAATGGTTTTTTGTCACGCAACCTTATAGTAAATAAAAAATTTAAAGTACTAAAAATAAATTCATAAAACTTGTTTTAATAACAAGCTTTTATGTAATAATGCACAAAAAAGTAGAAAATAAATTAAACACTACTATTTAAAAAACTATAAAGATACTATAGCAGTAGGACTATAATTTTTAGTTATATATTTGTACTATGATTAGTATATTACTAAACAGCTTCTTAAACTTGTAACCCCGTTTGTAAAGAAATGTGGTATGCCGTGAGGGACGGGTGGGTAGGGTTAATACTCATTGGAAAAATATCCACTGTAGTATTGGCATTGGATGACGTTGGCGCATGCTGGGAAACTTTTTTTTTCAAACAAGAACCAGTCTTTAATGAAAATCAAAGTCAAGGAGTGGTATTTTCACAATGTCGAATTTAACGAGTGAAGTTTGTTGTTAGCCTAGCAACTAACAAGCATTTAGGTCTATTGTATTACGATTGCTTGGCTATGCGAGTTTCATCAAGCTCAGATTACAATTATCGTGAACTATTTCAATTATTAATATTATTAGCCAAAGGTAGGAACAGTCATGCCTAAAAAGAGGAATTTCTAGCCAAAAAGAGGAACATACGTGCAGACGCTAGTTTACTAAGTCAAAAATATAAATAATTAATTAAACATTACTCTATGACATTAGCAGGCTTCTAGTCATATATAACAAGTCTCTAGGCTACATTTAAATACTGCTTAATGTCAGCTTACATATAAAAAAAAAAAGTTAACCAGTAACCTGAGACCACCCCCCCCCCCCCAATAAAAACCATAGTCCATAGTTTTGACATAACATTATTTTTTTTATTATTTATACCTTGCTATGTTCTAGGCTATATGAATAACAAATGCTGAAGGCTTCATATGTAATATAAAATATAAGTAAAGAGCTAAGACCTAGATCTAGATCTACCTAGTAAAAGTCCTAGTTACTTCTTACTTACTAATACTTATTTTATTAACTTAAGTCCTAAGTTTTTCATAATGTATTGTATTTTTCTCCCTACAAGTTATTTAAGGCATAATTTAAATCTACAATTCAATTGCAAACACAAAAAAGAACATTCAGTAGAATCTACCTAGATTGTCCACATTAGCTATTAGTTGTAAATATTGTAAGTAAACAAGGAAACTAAAACCTGTGTCAAAGGGAGGTAATCGCTTTTCCCTGCCTTTTTTACTTTCTCGTATATACGAAGTATAGAGAAAGTCTTGAAATCGTGCAAAAAAAAAAAAATCGAGATTTTTGCAAATCTCGACGTTTTACATCTCACTGATACGGAAAAACATAATTTTGCAATCTTGTCCGTATGTCTGTGTGTCCGTGTGTGTGTGTCCGTGTGTAAACACGATAACTTGAGTACCGTTACAGCTAGGTTGATGAAATTTCATATACAAGTATTATATCAAAATCGTAGATCCGTATCAACTTTTGAGCGATTTCGGATAACCGGAAGTGGTACTTTTTCTACTTTGAATTTTTCAAAAGCCTATAACTTGAGTACTATTTCAGATAGATAAATGAAATTTCACATGTAAGTAAAAGATCTAATTTTCTACCTTCTGTTAAATTTTGAGTAATTTCCGTTGACCGGAAGTAGTACTTTACGCTACTTCCGATTTCTCAAAAAACTAATGTAAATTTATTAAGTACTAATACTATTGCGCACTATTATACACACCTTTATTAGGCGTTCGCTTGGTGCGCAATTGTTTTTTACTGAGATTCTATTCTATTTTCCCACGTTTTCTTTAACTTGCTTTCTCTGTGTCTGTGTTTCTGTGTTTCTGTGTTTGTCTTTCCAATCCAATCTTGCGATCGAAATTTCTGGCACTTCCCAGTTAGCTAGCGCGCTGAAATTTTCAGGGAAGCTTTGTTTTGGATGACAATTGAATATTCTATTGTTTTTATTACTAAATTAATCCATGGAAACATTTTATTGATCATTTTAGACCGCTATATAATTGTACCAAAAAAACGTGGGGAAAAAGGGACATTACCCAGTAACTGTAATTTGATGAAAACAAGGTTCGGCACTCCCCCTCTTTTTGCTTACTGAGTAGTTGTCACGCGGTGTTTGTGTACAAACAACCATAACCTAACAACTGGTGGCCAGTATGGGGGAGACGATATGGTCGAGTGGTTGGGCACACGATTGCTATCCCACTCGACACGGGTTCAAATCTATGTGTTCTAGTCAGTAACGTATTCACACAACGTGTTTTTTACGAGTTGTCTTTTTACGAGTTGTCTTCGTTTACCCAAAAAAAGTGAAAAGATAAAATCGATAGCAAGATTTTAATGCAAACAAACAGACAAAGACTAAAAAGTAGAAAATAATAATCATTAAAAAAGTTTTAAAAACCCACGTTTTCTGATTGAACTAAAAAGTAGAAAATAAATACTATACATCACAATAATGCAAGCGATCACTCTACTATAAGCGATCAAAAACGTGGGGCGCCGTGATTTTCTTACAGTTTCTAATACTGTTGACTCTCTATAAGCTCCCTAATAAAAGTCAATAGTATTATCTAATCAATAGTAATATAACTTTTACTTCGGCGCCCCACGTTTTTGATAGCTTATAGTAGAGTGATCGCTTGCATTATTGTGATGTATAGTATTTATTTTCTACTTTTTAGTTCAATCAGAAAACGTGGGTTTTTTAAAACTTTTTTAATGATTATTATTTAAAAGTTTCAGTATTTAAAATGGATTAAAGATCATAACTATATCCCCAGTTACCATCCCCTGTTGTTTTATATAAGAATATTCGAGAAAGTTTAGGGGAGATCACTACCGGTTTATTTTCAATTCAATTTATTAACGTCCTTTATTAATTATTTTTTTCAAAAAAATCGGAACAAACTGAGTCAAAGTCGGGATGACGGAACAAATTACTTATTTAGGTGAAAAAGCGGAACGGTTCCGATTTTGGCGGGACGGTAACTGCTACCGATAGTAACAATATATTATAACATTAATACTTGGCTGTACTTACGATAATGTGTTTCCAAATATTTTTAGGCAAACAGGATTGACCTTTAACTAAACAACTTCATACCTACCCTATTCAGTTGACCAATTTGGCTATTTATGCACATCGACATTTTTCAGATTTCGCTCAATTTTTTTTTTCTACCATTATCCGTGAACCCTAAGCCTATACCTTATACAATACTACATTAATTACTATTTTTTTAATTGTTTATTGATTGTGTTGATTTTAGCTATCTACATTCATCTCTAAGATATTTTAATATGCTTCTACAAAGTATTATTGAAAAATCTTTAAAAATAAACTGGCAGTGATCTCCCCTAAACTTTCTCGAATATTCTTATTTGACAGTACAGGAGATGGGACTTCACGATATAGACATGAATTTTAAATTTTATTCCATTTTTAATTACTTAAACTTTTTAAAATAGAATAGAATCTCATAGAAAAAAAGAAATGCACACCAAGTGAAAGCCAAATAAAATGTGTATAATAGTGCAGAATATTATTAGTACTTTATAAATTCACATGCGTTTTTTGATGAATCTGAAATAGCCTAAATTACTACTTCTGGTCAACGGAAGTTTCTCAAAATTTAAAAGAAGGTAGAGAATTAGATCTTTTACTTATATGTGAAATTTCATTTATCTATCTGAAATAGTACTCAAGTTTTGTATAGGCTTTTGTTATAGGCTTTTGAAAACTTGAAAATAGAGAAAGTTCCACTTCCGTTTATCGGAAATCGCTGAAGAAAAGTTGAAACGGATCTACAAAATTGATATAATACTTATAAATGAAATTTCATCAACCTAGCTGTAACACTGTACTCTAGTTATCGTGTTTACAGACACACACACACACAGACTTACGGACAAGATTGCAAAACTATGTTTTTCTGACTCATGGGAGGTGTACTGTAAAATGTCGAGATTTGTAAAAAAACTCAATTTTTTTTTGCACAATTAAAATTTACAATACCTTCTCTATACTTTGTATACAAGAAAGTAATAATCGAGAAATCCACCCATGAAATCAGGTCACAGGTCAAGTAGTTTTTTTCTTCATCAACTCATATTTCATAATAATAATTTAATTTTAATAGGCCTAGTCCAAAATAATTATTAACAATAGGCTGAACCTGAGTTCAGAATTTGGTAAAATCACGATATAGCGTTGGAAATTATCTGGTAAAGTTTGTTGAGTTTTGGTAACATTTGTTACTGTAAACCATAATTTATTTGACCGTTAAAATAAAAATAGAGTCAAGTGCATTAAATTAATGTTTTAACTTAATTTAATGTTTAATTGACAAAAAATTAGCAACAATTAGTAAATCTAAATGGAGGGGAGCTACCATCTCCTACCAAGCGCGTCCCCAGGTGGCTGATGGGGGAGAGGCCCTTAGATATGAGGGTTAGCTGTGAATATCAAATAAACAGCTGTGGACCAACTGGTTTGTGGTCATGGAGGATGAGGTGGGATATTCATTGGTTAGGATATCCATCAAAACATCTCATAAATCCAAGGAAATGACTTCAACAGCGAGCATGGGGCGCTATAACTCCAAACCCGGGCAGATGGGGCTCGTTAGCTGGGGACAGCAACCCATCTAGGAGAGAAAACTCCAAAATCAAACAGCTACTGCCTTGTAGTTTGTTCTTGGGTGATCAAAGGCTATGGAAGCAAATCCAGAAAGAAAAGCAGGCTGAAGTCGGAGTCAACGGGCCATCTAGTATGGCGCATAACATGCTGGCACGCACTGCTTAATTTTATGATGGAGGAAAGCAATAGGACTAACAGAAGTGGCGTCCTGCCTGTGGAATCCCTCCGCGCAGGTAGGGGGCCGGGCTCTCCGCCTTGAAGGAGCCCACAAAAGCGAGCTGGTGGTTCCTCTATTCTTGCCTGGAAAGCCAGGGGCAAGGAACAGAAGGTTAAATCTACTGGCCAAAATAGTGAGAAAAACAACAAATTACTTGTTATCCTGCAGTGGAATGCAGAGGGAGTACACAAAAAAAGGAAGCCTTAAAAGTATTCCTACATGAAAATAAAGTAGACGTTGTATTCAAGAAACTCACCTCAACAACAATCTTCGCTTCTCTATTAGAGGATACACCTGCATAAGGCAGGACAGGGAAAACAGACCTAAAGGAGGTATCCTCAACCTCATAAAAAAGGACATACCAACAACAGATATCGTTATACCAAACTCAACAGCATCTGAGATAATGGGCACCAAACTCATACTTGCAGAAGGTAACCTAAATTAAAATATCTTCAATTGCTACTGTTCACCTGATAAGGACTTGGAACTGGACAGCATCTCCCTGCCAAACAGCGAAGATTGCCTGGTTGTGGGAGACATGAACAGCCACTCCCAGAGCTGGGGTTACCCTGACCTCAATGCTAAAGGAGAGGAAATTGAAGAATGGCAAGCAGAAAATAGGCTCATCCTTCTAAAAAAACCTGATGACAAACCAACTTTTTACTCAAGGTCTTGGTTAACCTCATCTACCCCTGACCTAGCTTTTACTACAAATGGCATATCCAAAAAATGCAAAAGAGAAGTTGCAGATCAACTAGCCACTAGCGACCACCGACCAATCCTGATCCAGATAGAAACATCAAACAGGCCAATAGAAGCCTACTCCCTCCCTAGATGGAACTACAAAAAAGCAAATTGGGAGCTCTTCTCTTCCCTCACAGACTCCTACACAAGACCAATCAACTGCAAAACAAAACAGGTGAACAAGTCATACACCCCCTTCTCAAAAGCAGTTCTGTTAGCAGCCAAAAAATCTATTCCAAGGGGAGCAAGAACAAATTACACCCCAAACTGGACTCCAGACCTCCAGAAACTCCATGACGAGACAATTGATGCTAGAAACACTGTTGAAGAAAATCCCCTTGTAGAAAATAACATAAAATTAAAATAAGCAAACGCAGTATTTAGAAAAAAGTATCTAACTGCATTAAGGAAAAGCTGGCATGAAAAAACAGAACACCTCAATGTAGATAGAGATGGTCACAAACTCTGGAGTATTGCAAAAAGGCTAAACCAAGAAGAAAACAGAGCTACTCCAATAGTCATCGACATAGTCATCAACATAGAAAGGTTACCTAAACAACCGAAAGGCATCAGTCTCCATGCAAGGAAAAAGAAGTCATACTGTAACTATAAAAAATGGAGTTCCTTAAGGAGGAGTCTTGTCTCTTACTCTCTTTCTCATTTATATAAATGACTTAAATGAAAACATCCCAAGGAGAGTAAAAAAAAAAGCATGTTTGCAGACGACCTTTCACTAATCAGCACAGAGGAATATATTGGAATATATTCAAAATTTCATCTTCAGGAAACTTGACAAGCTCAGCAAATGGACCAAAAACTGGGGCTTATCTATTAATGCCAAGAAAACAACCTATTCAATCTTCACCCTATCAATTAAAAAAATGACCACCACAAAGACCTAGGAGTCACTTTTGACACTCGACTTACCTGGAGAAAACAAATAGAAAACACACAAAGTAATGGGATTAAAAGACTTAATCTAATGAGGAAACTGGCAGGAACAGACTGGGGAGCAAATCATCACATCCTGAAAAAAACCTACTCCAGCTATGTGAGACCTACGTTAGAATATGGTGCTTCAGCTTGGGGCTCAGCAGCAAAAACAAATATTAGCAAAATTGACAAAGTTCAGAACATTGGTTTGAGAATAATGACAGGAGCCATGAAAACAACGCCTATAAAAGCAATGGAGGAAATAGCTGCTCTTAGCTCAATATAAGAAAGAAGAGAATCAAAAATCCTCACTCAATACACAAAGCTAGAGGCACTGGAAAACCATAATCTAAAACACAAACTCCAGAAGCCCAGTCCATCAAACAGAATACAAAGAACAAGTTTCATCGAAGAAGCAAAGAATCTAAAAAAGAAATATGAAATCGAAAACATCATTCCTGAAACAATCAAAACTCAAAACCTCTCCCCCCCCCCTTGGATCTCCCACTGTCATCTAACCATTCGTGACTCAATAGACACCATAGAAAAAAAAATCTGACTATGATCAAGAAGAACTAAAGAAAATAAATAAGCACATTAAGGATCAGTACCCCAGCAATACCTGAATTAGAGTATTCACAGATGGCTCAGCTGAAGATGCCACAAAAAATGGCGGGGCTGGCGTCCTTATTGAATGGCAAAGCGGAGAAAGCCTGGAAAAGTCAATCGCCACAGGCAGCCTATCCGACAAGTCAGATAGTATTTCTTACAGATGCCAAATCTGTTCTGCAATCCCTAAAAAAATCCAGAGTCCTATACTCAATCACTTAGGACAGCACTTGAAAGGCTAATAAATACCTGCAGCAGAATTGTGCTGCAGTGGATCCCGGGCCTCTGCCAGATACAGGGTAATGAGATTGTGGACCAGCTGGCAAAAATTGGGGAAAAGAAAAAACAACCGGATATCTCGCTACACCCAAAAGAAATAAAAAGAATGACACACCCCCTCACTACAATAAAGATGATGGATATTATAATTTGACACGAAAACAACAATACATAATCTTTCGACTTAGAACGGGCTATAACAGACTAAATCAACACATGCATAAAAAACTAAAAATTGGGTGTGGCAAAATATGCCCTTCGGGCAAGGCCCCGGAAAATACGGAGCACGCCCTTCAGGAATGTTCTTTATATAGCCAGGCGCGAGTCAGACACTGGCCCCTGCTCACCCCACTCAGGAAAAAATTATATGGGGCACCTGCTGATCTGGAGACCACAGTCCGGTTTATTCACGAAGTTGGACTTGTTGTCTAAATCCTCCAACATATTTTCAATTAAGAACGAAGAAGAAGAATAATCTAAATATTATTAATAAAGTCGAGTGTAGTAATTAATGTTTTTTAAGAAACAGAAAAAACCTGCAGAAAATTTGTGACAAATAGCTCTAGTTCTGTTAGTAAAATAAGACGATTAGGCCTAGATATACTAAAGTTGAAAGTAGTAAGTAAGAGGAACTAGAACAATGTTTAGTAGCAGCAATAATTAGCACATACACATAAAATAATTACAAATACAAAATAATTATCAAAACAGTATTTAAAATGCAACTAAAATCAATCCTTGCACATTTTTAAACATGAAAATCGGGAGTTCAGAATTTTCTGATGTGTGATCGGCTGTGGAACTTTACTCTATTAAAAATAATATGGCAGCAAATAAATGATGGTTCACAGTATTTCCGGTGGTTTCCAGAACGGCTCGACAGACTACGCCATGGTTTTACTGTTTTTTACTGCTGTACAGTTCAGGAATAATAACCGACGCTATATCGTGATTTTACCCAAATTTTTTTTACAGTTAAAATGACTTTGCACATAAAGTTAACAGGCCTACACTGAGGCCTATAAAAGCCCTATATAACTATATGCTAAATTGACTTAGTTTACTAGTGTGCTAGCAGTAGCTATTATAGTACCTACTATCCTATTATTACTCTATTAGTATTAGCTATTAATTAGCCCATTAGGCCTATAGATTTTATCAAAATGCATATGTAAATGCCTTAAAAACTAAATTTGACGACTTACTATAGGCCTACAATATTCAATAGAAGGCCTAATATTATAATATACAATCAATAGGCCTATATATTACATAGTACATAGGCCTACTACTACAATAGAATAGTACTAGATCTAGTACTACATACTACAATCTACATAATATTTCCCTCTAGATCTACATACCTCCAAGAGTCCAAGAGACTTTCTAATTCTATGAATCAAAGCTCGTCTAGAATTCTAGATCTAGCTAGATCTAAATTCTAATCTAGATCTAGACTAGATTAAATTAAAAGTTAAAGTAATAAAAGTAGGCCTAATTAATTATTACTAATTAATTTAATAATAGGCCTAATAATTAATTATAATTGGTAATCTATCGTTTTGGGTAAGTAAAATCGCCTGCGACTTGTAATGTGAAAAACAGGTGACTCCTGAAATATTAATAATAATTTCACATTTTGAGGAGGATTTACTATCTTGCTTCCTTGTTTCATTTATGTACCTGTTTTTAAGTGGTTGAATTAAAACTTTTCAGTAATAAATGAAGACTAGCGATGTTTCCAACAGATGCAACCATGCTCATTTACTAGATCTATAGCAGCCATCTTGTTTTATTTTTATATGAGATTCAGGGGGAAGCCATTCTATTTTACAAATGGCTGCTGTTTGTATAGCAAATCTGCTCGCAGACAGTGCTGTTTAAAGTTAATTTCTGGCCTATATACTATATTGATATATTTAGCAATCGATTTAGGTTTACGAAGTGACTACGCGTCTCGCAAAGCGTGGCCCCTGCCCTAAAGAATATACTACGCGTCTCGCAGGTTTGATTTGCCATTTTGTAATGGAAAATGCTTACTTTTGAAATCTCTATCACATTCGCTGTAGGCTGAAGTTCATAGACTCGGAGTTCAGAGTTCGAACCCGGGGTTAACTCCTCTGGTCCTTTTTTTTTTTAATTGTTTTTTCATTGAAAATATGACATAGACTATGATTCTTTTTTTTTTTTTAAATAAATTTTCCAAACATCGTCACTGTCGTGATTGCTTGCCTTACGTTTACTATCCCGTAAGTGGAAAATCCCACCACGGCCCACAGTCGGCGAGGTCACTGAAATCAGCAGGCCTAAAGCATATGTCATAGACGTTCACACGAGATCGTCTGTCTTCACTTCTCTCTTCCTCCCACCCCCTTCCCCCCTCAAGCAAATTGATTTTTTTTAAGTTCACGTAGGATAAATAATATAGACTTAGACTTTAGATCTACTATCACGCATGCTAGATAGCTAGGCCTAAAGGTTAAAGGACAGTTTGATTTAGCTAGTTTGCTGCTAGATCTAGGACTATCATCTGACCTCACAAACTTTCCTTGACACTACACTGTACTGTTTTTTTTTACAAGTACTAGACTCTTAGGTGTTGAAATAATATAGAGATCTAAATACACTTAAACTCGATCTAGATCTGTGTCAACATTAAATAAATTGTTACCACGAAAAAAAAATCGGGCAGTCCTGATATCTGTTTTTTTTTTTTTTAGATCGCGTGCCACCTAGGGTAAAGATTAAGCGTAACGCGGAGCAAACTGCGCAAAGGCAGCCTTACGCGTAACGCGGAGCAAACTGCGCAAATGCGGCCTTAGGTTTATTAATATTATTCATTTATCTATATTCTATAATATTTGACACAAACATATCACAATATACTTCTATTAAAGCCTTGACAATGAGGTAATGTTTTCGTACATTAATAGCCGCTGGCGATTTTACGTACCTACCCAAAACGATAGGGCCTATTAATATTTATTATTAATTTTTATTATTAATTCATTAATTAATAGCCTAATATTATTAAAACTAACATTAGAGAGGCCAGAGGCCCTACCTATTACTATTTGTCATTTTAACAATAAAATAATTAAAATAGGCCTATAGAATAGATTCTAGATCTAAATCTAGACTGGATCTATAATAATTGGAGTGGTCAAGATTCGTGTCACAGTCTTTGATAAAGAATCTAAATACTAACTAAATAGTAAATTCTAAATTAGTAAATCTAGACTAGACCCTGCAAGTACACAGAGAGAGGATCTATTATAAAAATACAATCGAGAGTGACCTCCCCTAAACTTTCTAGTATACGAGATCTAGCTGTTCTAGCCCAGTTCTACAACTGGCTTATCCCCGGGTTTTTTTTTTCGGAAGAGGGGGCGCCCAAGACAGACATGGTGGTTGAGTCTTCTCGAAGAACTGAAGCCAACAGGAATGTCTTGAGAGACGGCAAAATTAATAGCCGGGGACAGAGGCGTAGCGACGGGGGGGGGGGGGGTACCCTATGGGCGTCAAAATGGGTTGGTAAAAAAATTAAAAGCTCATTTTACCTGCGGTTTTGAATTATAAATACGAAGTGTCTATTCACAGTCGTGACCGTTTTTGATAGATTTACTGTTAAAAATACCGTCGTATTTAGCATGAAATGACAGCCGACTGTGAATAGCCATATTGGGGCTATTCACAGTTGTCTGGGAATAGCCCCAATACGGCTATTCCCAACCGTTCTTGGAAGATTTAATGTTAAAAATACCCAAATGGGTTCTAACTCGAGACTTTTCGGCTTAGCAACCATGAGCTTTACCGACTCGACCACGCCAAACCCTGCAATTGTGTCCAAATTAGTAGGCAAAGTTATCCAACTATTCCGCACATTATACGCGCGTTATCGTGTCCATTAGGTGCACAATAGTTTTTACTAAAGCAACTCTATTGAAAATTTAAAAAAAAATAAAGTACTGAGAAAAAAATAATTCATAAAAGCCGTTTTTAATAACAAGCTTTTATGTAATGATGCAATGAAAAGTAGAAAATAAATGATTTTCGTTAAATAAATAATAATGCATTACTATTTAAATAAGTAAAAAAAATCGGGAGCGATCTCCCCTAAACTTTCTCGAATATTCTTTTATAAAAAAACAGGGGATGGGAACTCGGGATATAGACATGAATTTTAATCAATTTAAATACTTAAACTTTTAAAAATAGAATAAAATCTCGTAAAAAAAATATTATTAGTTTTAATTTAATTTCGTTTTTTTTTTGAGAAATCGGAAATAGCGTAAATTAGTACTTCCAATCAACGGAAATTACTCAAAATTTGACAGAAGGTAGATAATTAGATCTTTCACTTACATGTGAAATTTCATTTATCTATCTGAAATAGTACTCAAGTTATAGGCTTTTGAAAAATTCAAAGTAGAAAAAGTACCACTTCCGGTTATCGGAAATTGCTCAAAAGTTGATACGGATCTACGATTTTGATAAAATACTTATAAATGAAATTTCATCAACCTTGCTGTAACGGTACTCAAGTTATCGTGTTTACACACAGACAGACACACACACAGACAACGGACAGAATTGCAAAGTCCAGTTTTTACGACTCGATTACGCATAAAACGCCAAAATGTTTATACATTTGTATTTATAATTTTTGCCTGATTAAAATAAGTCCTCTATACTCCGGTTGTGATGAAGGACTGAGGAGTAAAACGGTGAAAACTGTCAACATTTCATGTTATTTTTGTGAACGATTACAATACTTTCTTCGTATATATTAGAAAGTAAAAAGGCGTGAGTCTCTTCCAAAATATTAGTAAAGGTGGCCATCCGATAGGTAATATATAGTTACCCCAGCTTTTCTTTATAGTCATTTAAATAGCAGTGTACTTTTTATATTGAACGAAAATATTTTATTTTCTCCTTTTTTGGTGCATTAGTACATAAAACTTTGTAATCAAAACGTTTTTTATGAATTAAAAAAAATAAGGTCAAGAAAATAATCTATCGTTCAATTTGTTATCGTTAAATAATATCGACTGTTTTCTAAAATTAGCTTTACCACATGGTTGCTAGGGACCTGCTTTTAATGGCGGCATATTGACTGAAGACATTTCATTATAAACAGGAAGATAAATACTAATAGTCTCTGTCTATACAATTTTTTTATTATAAGATATTAGCGATGAAAACGCAAATAAAACTTAGAATCTATTTCTAGAGAGCTGTAAATATGTCTTTAAACTCACCTCAAAGAGTACGCATTGTCCCAAGTGGGCAAATTTATCGACAGTTGTTTGATGCACAGGCAAGTTTCTGTAGTTTCTAGTTAGAATCTACTAGTTACAAATAAAACTATAATATATACTATAGGCCTATATTATATAATATATAGGCCTATATTATTATAACTAGTAATTTATTATTAGATCTAGATCTAGTAGCATATTAGTATTAGTCGTAATATAGCAATTATTACTCAATTTTACATTTAATTATTGTACAGTTTAAATAATTTTACAATACTAACTAAAAAAAAAATAGGCTTACTGTAGCTATAGTATAGTTACCTAGTAATGAAAACTAGAAGAGAGTTCTTTATAATCGTCTTATTAATCTCTAACCAACTAGTTTACTAGAGACTACATTTGATGGTTCTAGTAGGATGGCGCCTAAGATTTTAAACTTCATTATTGTTCAAAATGACTTAGGCCTAAACAATTAAAAACTACATTTATTTACCGTTAATTTGATACCAATTTTAATCATCAAAATTAATTGGTAGCTTAGACTAACTTAGAAAATTATTTATGAAAAAGCGCATTTGTTTTTAAATAGCTACAATGATATGACTAATTCGGTGGGTTAGTTTTAAAGGAGTTGTTGTGATGCGATTGACCGTTCACTGCCATTCAGCAGAAATGTGTTGTCTGCTAGATTTCTTCCCCTTCAAATACACGGCGGGCAAAATGGCCGGGCTTAATTAGCTGTTGTCTCGATCAAGTTATTTTTTGAAGTTTTGTTTTTACCCTGCATGATTTTTTTATAAATTAATGAAATTAGTTAAGTAGTACGCAATATATATTATTTTCCATAGTTCAGAGTATTTTTGAGTATGTTTACAACAATATTAAATAAAGCAGTTCCCGTTTTGCTTAGTTTATTATGTTCTGCTTGATATTCTCAGAGATAAGACCAAAAAAAATGTACAAATGGCAAGTTTGCCTCGAACACTAATCATCCATTGTTAAAAACTAGATTGGTATCGTTGAATAATACCTAAAAATAACGATTGTAAGTATATAATTCTAAAATGACCATGAAACATTGTTAAAAAAAATTGAATCACAGTATCATCGTTTTTATATATTATATATCGTTTTATATATATATATATATATATATATATATATATATATATATATATATATATATATATATATATATATATAAGAAGACCGTCTCACTAAATTCTAAATTAAATTATTTCATTGCAAAGTATATCCATCATGAGACAACAAACCACACAGAGATAGGCTCCAACTCATTTCTTGAAATAATTACATTTTAAAAGCTCTTTTTTACGCCCAACAAAGATTATGAATTGTGTTCCTTCTTATTTGGCAAGTCGGTCAAAGACTATGAATCATGGAACTTGATATGTGTAAAGGTTTCCCGCGTTTAAAAAAAAATTTATACTATTAACTAAGCATACTGCCTAGCTCCGCTTAGGTTTTAAAAAACAAATTGCGAATTTGAATGCTTAATTAATTAGAGATAGGCTGATAAGGAGCTCTCATTTTAAACAGTAATGGTAATTTTAGAGAAATTGGTGGAATGCTTGCAATTTATTACTTGTAAGTAATTAGAACTATAAAGGTTCACTGAATAGTAAAATTTGTAAGTTATATTAAATTGACTTTTAAAATTAATTACTACAATTTAATTAGGATACAACTTTACTTTATAATACAAATTTTTACTCAAACAAATGCTAAACTTTGTTATTTTCTGTTTGTGTTTAATATAGTATAAAATTGTTTGAAATATAATTATTTTGAAACGTTACCTCCCTCGAAAATTTAACCAATGACGTAGTCTTTGTTTACTTTTTTTTTCACAAACAGTTGCTATACTAATAAGAAAATACGGCAACTGGACAAATTTAACGACCATAATTTTTTTTCAGATGGGAATAAAGTGTTTTTGTTACACTGCAGGGTCGGTCTACGACCTAACATAATATCAGGGGGCACCCGACAACTTTACTTTGTGTATATATATATATATATATATATATATATATATATATATATATATATACATATATATATATATATATATACATATATATATATATATATATATATATACATATATATATATATATATATATATATATATATATATATATATATATATATATATATATATATATATATATATATATATATATGTATATATATGTATATATATATATATATATGTATATATATATATATATATATATATATGTATATATATGTATATATATATATATATATGTATATATATATATATATATATATATATATATATATATATATTCAGAATTAATTCCTTTTTGTAGCTTAGTCATTCTTCAGAATGATTTACTTTAATAATTCTTACGAGAGGAATTTTCAGTTTTAATTCGCTTAGTAAAAAACTATTTTAATTAGTTTTATCGGCACCCTGATTCGACTATTTAAAGGAGAGAATAAGTCATGGAAGTGGTTTAAAGATTTACCTATTTTTCATACTACCACTCATGTAGTTTGTTTTTCTCTACGCAACAGTGTTATAGTTACTGTAGAACAATAACTGCTGCAACCGATTCATTTTTTTTGTTTAAAAAAAAACACTAGTCTATCAAGGTGCAAACAATTTTTTGTTGGATTTTGTCCACCCCCCCCCCCCCCCCAATCATTATGTGCCGACCCAAGAAGGGCGCAAAGGTAATAATATAAAGAGCTCATTACTGAATTATATACAGTCGAAATAAAGAATGCGGTACTCAAGTTATCATGATTACAGACACACACACACGAACAGAATTTCAAAACCCAGTTTTTCAGACTCGAATACGCATAAAACGCCGTCATTTTGATAAATCTGGATTTAGAATTTTTGCCTGATTAAAAAAAGTCCACTATACTCTGTATATGATGAAGTACTGAGGTGTACAATGGTTAAATCAATCAAAAGTACATGTGATTTTTTTTGCACGATTACAATACTTCCTCTATACTCTATATGAGAAAGTAAAAAAGGCAAAGTGACTGTTCTTAGAAAGGAAGTCTACCCCCCCCCCCCCCACCCCCCAATGAACTGGAATTTTTATAGTTTTTATACTTTTAACAGTGTCTCCCCCTCCCTCCCCAGAAAAAAGTCTGGAAGAAACACTGGTTAAAAAGCATTTTCACCAACACGAATACTTATATATAGGTCTAGTTTGAAGATGGGGCGCAAAAATTGATAGTTCGTCCTGGGCACCTAAATAGGTCACTATGCCTTTGTATATAGTTAATGTAATATAATCAAAGTTAAAAATTAGGTACTTTTTAATAATGGCGATTTCACATTTTTGCACCCCCATATGGATAGCGCCCTAGGCGACTGCCTAGTTTGCCTTATAGGTAGCGCCAGCCTTGATAATAACACTGAGCATAGACACTGTAGTGTAGTAGAACCACAAAAGCAATATTTCAAAGTACCCATTCATAAGAGGTATACAGTGAGCAGGTGCAGCAGAGTTATGTAACTATATGCCCGAACATCTAAAACTATAGTTTTCATGAATTTTACAAGTGAGTCTACACCTCACATGTCCATATGTGTATTTTGTGATATTCTATTATTTGTGCATCGATATTTAGAGAATAGATTCGCGGCATTAAAAATATCTCCAAATTTACAAAACAACTATATATCTCAAATTCAATGTCAGTATGATGAGAGAAAATCAGCACAAATAATTTTTTACACGCTTGGAACATAATTCCGGCATTAATGGGTTAAATTTTTACTTGATTGCCTAGGGGGTATAGCTGAATGGGATGGCGAGGTGTTATTTCTTTAAGTATGATTATAAATAAGAGTAGGATGTACAATATAGTATAAATAAACTAGCCGTTATTATCTACACTTTGCTCCAGACATTTATAGTGATGTCCAGATGTAATTGTTAACGCAGATATTATGTGTTTTAACAAAAATTAAAGAGCATAACATATTTCTATGCTCAAAACAGCAACAGCACATGATTTTAAAAATCAACCTACTCATCAACTACCATTCCTCATTATCATGTCTCATCACACAAATACATTAGAGTTGAACCATTAAACAGAAAACCACTTGTTACTTACTTTCACAATCCTTAAGAATTTGTAACAGACCATTGTACATTACAGCATACTCTATATCTACTACACAAAATTTAAGAAACCAATATGTATTAAATGTTAAATAATATGCACTGAATGGTCAATGTTATTAATACCTAACTTAAAATAAGCATATAACTAAAATGCAACCTTAATTTGATCAGAAATGTGACATGTCTATCTGGGTGTAAGACGTTACCCACTCCTCACCTGGTCATTAGCCCCCAGATCAATTACCTCCTCAATTACCACCCTGTGTAATTACCTTACTGCAAAATACATATTATAATAATACCTATACTTATACTGAACATGCTGCACTGTGCAAATGAAAAATATAATGGCTAAATATGCATGACCATTACACATATTTTTGAAAAATTGAAAACTATTTGAAATTTCACTGAAATCAGCCAGAAAGTGCTAGCAAACAGTCTCAGTGTTATAATGCACCAGTGTGGTAAAAATCAACCCGATCTGATCTGGCTTTTGGATTAACATAATGGACAAAACCAGACAGCTGCAGACATACTTTTATTTTTATATGCATAGATAACATAAATAATAAATATATTAAATAATTTAAATAGTAGTTCATTATTATATATTTAAAGAAAGTCATTTATTTTCTCCTTTTCAGTGCATTATTCCATAAAAACTTGTTATTGAAACATTTTGAATGCATTTTTTTTGCAGTACTTTAAAAATTTTAATACAATAGAGTTGCATGACTAAAACCAATTGCACACTAAATGAACACAAAAAAAGTGTGTATAATAGAGTGGTAATTTTTATCATTTCTTTAAAAATTAATTAAGCATCCAATAAAGTCAAATATGATGTCTTATAGCGATGTCATTGGGTCTTGATCCACATGCTAAGTTTCAGATACATTGGTCAGCTAGAAGTGGTCAAAATTTTGCTTGCCAATTTTAATGCATGTCGTTCAAAGCACATAAAAGCAAGACAGAGGATGCAAGTTAAATGAAAGCTTATAAAAACAAATAGCAAAATTAATTTTTTTAAATGCTTGGAAAATAATTCAGAAATTAAGGGGTTAAACTGGAATGGTCTTTGTTCATAGGGTTTATGTAAAAAATAGCAGCCAACAACCATGATTTCTTTGATTTTCTCAAATCACAAAATGTTATCAAATGATACAAAATTTGACCGGGAAGTGTTTTGAAAATCAGCATAATAAGAGCTATAGTTAAAAAAAAAAGAAAATAATCTTAAATGGCTTTAGAGATAAAAGTATTACACATTAATGTAAATTTTATTTAGCAATCTTATCAAATATGTTCTTTTATCGTAAATCTTTATACATCATCTTTTTATAAACTATTTATAGCTTCTGCTGAATCGGAGTTTATCCCATTATGGCACAGAAGCCCATTCCAACCAAAATAAACTCAAGGCAATATCTGCAAGTTACCCAGTCATTCATATAGATAAGGATGAAACACATCAAGGCCTTCTTTCAAAGAGACAGAAAAACTGGATGAAAGGGTCACCTAATGATCCCTACACTGAAAATCCAGTTCTGTACAGGTATTTAAAAAATAAATTAAAATTTTTAGGATTGATTGAATTGCCAGTTTTCAGATCTGTTGTTTATACTTGCACCATGTTGATGCTCCAGGATAACTCAGATTATAGAGAAGAGGGGTGTAGACTGTAGAGTAGTTGTGGCAATGTACCTGGTTTGCATTTTTCTGGATTATAGCTTTGTAAGAATATAGGAAATCAATTGATAGAAAATGGGTCGGCGTGGTCGAGTCGGTAAAGCTCATGGTTGCTAAACCGAAAAGTCTCGAGTTCGAACCCTCGGGCAGATGAGGCTCGTTAGCTGGGGACAGCCACTCATCTAGGAGAGACAACTCCAAAATTAAACAACTGCTGCCTTGTAGTTTGTTCTTGGTTGGACAAAGGCTATGGAAGCAAATCCAAAAAGAAAAGCAGGCTGAAATCGGAGTCAATGGCCTCAATGGCGCATAACCAGTTGACACGTAACGCTTAATTGTGTTGGAGGCGTGGTCGAGTCGGCAAAAAGTTCATGGTTGATAAATTCGAACAAAGTCTCGAGTTCAAACCCACTGGCAGATAAATCTCGATCCCCTTCAACACTAATAATTAAGAACGAAGAAGAAGAAGAAGAAGAAGATCATAGAATAAACCGGGAGTGATCTCCCCTTAACTTTCTCGAATATTCTTATATAACACTACGAGGGATGGCACCTCGGGATATAGACCTGATTTTTAATCCATTTTTAATTACTTTAAACTTTTAAAAATAGAATAGAATCTATCTATCCATCTATATATATAAAAAGGAATGTATGTCTGTTTGTTTGTCCTTTATGCATTACTACACCTCTCATCACATCGCAGTGAAACTATGGGAAGTTGTTGAGAATATTTCTGCTGAGGTTTCTGCAAAAAAAAAAATTTCAAATTCGCAGGGATGGCACGATATACCCAGTCCAAGCTAAGCAAACTCTTTCAAGAATCACTTAAGACAATAGTATACCCAGTCCAAGCTAAGCAAACTCTTCGAAGAATCACTTAAGACAAGAGTATACCCAGTCCAAGCTAAGCAAACTCTTTGAAGAATCACTTAAGACAATAGTATACCCAGTCCAAGCTAAGCAAACTCTTGACGAATCATTTAAGACAATAGTATACCCAGTCCAAGCTAAGCAAACTCTTTGAAGAATCATTTAAGACAATAGTATACCCAGTCCAAGCTAAGCAAACTCTTTGAAGAATCATTTAAGACAATAGTATACCCAGTCCAAGCTAAGCAAACTCTTTGAAGAATCATTTAAGACAATAGTATACCCAGTCCAAGCTAAGCAAACTCTTTGAAGAATCACTTAAGACAATAGTATACCCAGTCCAAGCTAAGCAAACTCTTGACGAATCATTTAAGACAATAGTATACCCAGTCCAAGCTAAACAAACTCTTTGAAGAATCACTTAAGACAATAGTATACCCAGTCCTAGCTAAGCAAACTCTTTGAAGAATCACTTAAGACAAGAGTATACCCAGTCCAAGTTAGCAAACTCTTTCAAGAATCACTTAAGACAATAGTATACCCAGTCCAAGTTAAGCAAACTCTTTGAAGAATCACTTAAGACAATAGTATACCCAGTCCAGGCTAAGCAAACTCTTTGAAGAATCACTTAAGACAATAGTATACCCACTCCAAGCTAAGCAAACTCTTGACGAATCATTTAAGACAATAGTATACCCAGTCCAAGCTAAGCAAACTCTTGACGAATCATTTAAGACAATAGTATACCCAGTCCAAGCTAAGCTAACTCTTTGAAGAATCACTTAAGACAATAGTATACCCAGTCCAAGCTAAACAAACTCTTTCAAGAATCACTTAAGACAATAGTATACCCAGTCCAAGCTAAGCAAACTCTTGACGAATCATTTAAGACAATAGTATACCCAGTCCAAGCTAAGCAAACTCTTTGAAGAATCATTTAAGACAATAGTATACCCAGTCCAAGCTAAGCTAACTCTTTGAATAATCACTTAAGAAAAGCTCCAAGATCAATTGCAAGAAAACAGGTGATGAAGGTGGATCGCTACACTTATCTAGGAAATGTACCAAGCAAGGATAGGGAGCTGCATCAGCAAGCCGAGTATGCATTCAGCATCATTAGCACAATCTAGAGCACTGTCTACCCTTTCAAAAATCTTATATTTAACAGCAACATGAAGTCTGTTCTCCTCTATGGTTTTGAGGAATAGAGAGTAACATATAACAATAAACTTCAGACTTAATGAATGGGTTAAATACTGAACATCAACTAGCCTGAAAAAATTACCAATGAACATCAACTAGCCTGAAAAAATTAGCAATGAAAAAAAACATTTTGAGAAAGTGAAGTGCAAAAGAAGATAGATTGGACAATAGTTGCACAAACCAACAAACAGCACCAGAAAGGCATTAGATTGGATTTCTCAAGGACCACTCACCTGCTGTTTCAAATAAGTGTGATTCGTTTAAGGCATACACACATATATCAATATTTTAGACACCCTTCATTCGGTTTACAGGCATTTTCACTCACTCTCACACATGCACACACACACCACTTTCATTTTTATATGAATAGATTTAAATGGGGCTGATTAGTCTGCTTTTCAGTATAATTAATTTTTGTGTCTAGCAATTCCGTTATGCTTTTTTTGCAAAATAAACAATGATAGAAAGAGCAGATTTAATTATTTTTAAAATGCTTGACCCCCTACAGACTTAATTTAGATCAAGTCTCGCTATAAAACTATTATGTCATGCTATTTTGTCCAACTAGCTTGTTTTTTTTTTAAAGATCCGTTGTGTTTTGAACGTTTTTGGATTTCTTAAATTTCAACTAATGATATTCTTTATCTATCCTTTCAATACATAAATAAAATTGTTTAGTACATTTTTTGCAGACAGTTTAGTGACTATACTAAATGGAAACTGCAAGAATCAAAAGCAGTGGATTCTCATCAAGAAGTTAGAGGATTGCCTGACAAATTAGGTAATTTATATTGCTTTTGCATATGTTTATTCCCTTAAAAAATATCTATGTAGAAGTTGTATAAGTTTTGTCTCGCTAAATGTACGTTAAAAGAAATTTATAATAGGATTAAAACATACAGATTAATTTAGATTTATATAGCTATTATTTTACATTAGTTATTTTCTAAGTAATTAAAAAAATATAACTGTACTTAAGTTGTCTCATATTGCTGTTTGTGTGGTCTGTTCTGAAGAGAAAGTCAACATTTTCAAAAGTCATATGGCATATTTCTTGTTTTTTTCATGATGGGTTTCTAGCACTTTTGGATACTTTGTCCATTTTTGTATTAAGAAAATAAAAACTTTAATAACCTTTTTGTGTTTTATTCAATATTTCATAATGAAGTAGCTACAGTCAAGTTAAAATCCAATATTATTGAAAGAATTGGAGAAACACAAAGACAAAGGTATTTATTTTTTTTATAGTTTAAGTTTTATTATAAGTGTCCATATAATTATTTGAGTTGCTTACTAATACTAAGCACATATGGTTAGCCTATGGGTGTCAAGCTAAAGTAGGAAGGTTTGCATTTTTGGGATGATGTATAACAGAGTGAGGGAGGTTAGAAAATAAATTATTTTTTGTTATTTTAAAAACCTTGCTAATATATTTTCTTCTTTGTTTAAACAGACATGACTCAGCCTTGGAAGCTCTGCACCAAGATCTAAGCATCATAAGCAATGTAAGCCACATTTCAAGATGTATAAGTATTTTAAACTTTAAAAGGGATCCTCCATTTATGCTGTCTACAAAAGGGTTGTAGATCTTGTGTTGAGGTCTATTATAAATCCCAGTCCAGTGGGAGCTGAAATGTATTGAATGTATAAAATCAGTGTTTTGTTATAAACAAGCAGTGAAGGAAACATAAAAAGTATAGGAAACAGACATGGCCTATTATTTGTCTCCAAATTTTAAAATGTTCCCCCCACTGACTTAAATTTTCATTGTGCATGTTTTTGCATCAAAATCTGAGAGCTACTGAGGCCTAAAGTTGCAGTACACAATAATAACAGATAAATTGGAATGTCATTGTTAACTAGACATCCATAAATCATGAATACATGAATTGGCTTAGTAATGCATAAAAAACACATATAAATTCCAGTCAATCTTGTGTTATTGTCCAGTTTTTTATGAATGTAGATAGGCTGTATAGTGTCATAATAGATGATCCACACATAACAATATGCTGTGTAAATTCCATAACAGAATCCTGGAAAGTAAAGTTAATTTATTACATGTGTTTGTATGCATATTATTATATGTAAAGTGGTACCCCAAGATACAAATTTAATTCATTCCATAACATTGCTTGTATGTCAAATAGTTCATGTCTGAAAGCTATTTTCTCCAGTTAAATTATATGAAATGCCAATAATCCGTTCCAGCACCCAAAATGCCAGACCAGTTGTTTTTGTTATGTATTTTTAATAAGGAAAATGCTGAAAGGAGAATTTAAAGGAATAAGCTGGCTACTTGAGCCTACTTGAGCTTACTGTAGAAACTGGCAGAGAAAGGCAGAGTAGCTTTACTTTGTTCTCTAACTCTCTACATTTTTAATGTTTAACTCTTTCAGTCTCTTTAATTCACTTACTTATTACACTCTTATTCAAAAATTTAATAAAACTTAAATAGAATTCATTCTCTTAGTTGAACTTAGATGATACTAAATAATTTACTATTACTTTAGATTAATTTTTTTTGTGACTGTTTCTTTCTTCACTGGTCTTAGCCTTTTCACCTTGTTTTACTCAAGCACACATTAAAATAAAACCTGTTCATATCTTCCTCCTGTTCAGAATGTTGTAGAAATGAGTTAGAAAATGTCATTGAATAGCTGCTATGCACAATCAGTGCAAATTTTTCTGTTTCTTTTCCATGAATTATGAAACCTGCAGATCCAGTTTCTTATATTCTAAATTGCTTACTCGACCGCTTGTATGTAAAAAACTCAAATGTCTGGGAACTGGTATGTTGAGGTACTACTGTATAAGTATGGCCTATAAATAGTCATACATGTGTAGATGTAGATGGACTCATAGGCATAAATCTAGTTATAGGCTTTGCATATCTATTTTACAGGAAAAGGAACCATTAATAGAAGAAATATCAATACAAGTTTTACAAAAGCTACTTTCTGATGAGCAGGAAATAAATGATGTCCTTTCACAAATTGAAAATAATGAGGTTATTACATACCATTTAATATAGCTAGATAAGTTTTGCTGTTAAATTTATTTATAAGGATTTGGTCTTTTGTAATAGGCATGAAAAGTCTATGTGCTCATACTAAATTTTTGAAAATATCTTTTTAAAAATATGGCAAGCGATAAAATTATAGTTACATTTGTAAAAATTAAAGTTGTATGGGAGCCATTGATTACCCTAATTTTCATATTTTTGTATAAAATATAAGCCATTGAAAAACCATTTAGAATTATTTTATCAATTCAAATATTTTAAAAAACTACCCTAAACCTCTCCTTGAAGTTAACCGGAATGGCCAGGGAGAATGAAACAAAGGTTAGAACAATTGTTTTCCATGATAAAAATACACAATAGTGATCTAGGGTATGATCTATATCAAAGTATTGTATTTGTATTAAATAATATAACATCCCCAATCGCCACAATACCTGGACTCTCCTAATCCAAATTAAAAATAAAAGCGTTTGCTAAATTATTATTATATATTATTCGTAATTTCTTGTCTTAATAAAACTGGAAGTAATTGTTTACTTATTACACAAAAGTTATTAAATATTCAATTTTGGTTGAAAAATATGCTTTCTGGCAACAAAAATTTGGAACCATTTGGAACCAGCTTTTCAAGTCAATATCTCTCAGTCTGTCTGCCCGCCCACCCGTCCGTCCATCCATCCTGATTCCACTCCACTCCATATATATATTTATATATATATATGCGTTACATACAGAACTGAGCTTTATATATTAGATATATATATATATATATATATATATATATATATATATATCTAATATATAAAGCTCAATTCTGTAACGCATATGTTTGTCGTTGGCATTTCTACGGATTTAAGTGTTAGATCAATTATCGTGCGCAGTTGTCTAAATTTATGAGTTAAAAAATTACTATTAAAAGTGTTGGGAAATCATTTTCATTTTTCAAATTATAGTAATAATTGTCGGCATGTTCATTAAACACAAGTTTTAAAAAAATATCATCTTTTACAAAAATTCTAATTATGTTTTTATTTAGTCCTATAGCGCTTACTTCCCTTTGATAAATTAGGCAAAACACAATTACTTCCCTTTATGAAACCATTGCATTAGTTGAAAAGCATTTACTTTTTAATTACTTTGTTTTGGTGTTGGGAAAAAAATAATTACATAATTAGCGGGGATTGATCAAGTGCAAATGTTTTAGGTATTTTACGGATAAGCTTGGAGTATTATAATTGTTCATTAAATTGAAACAGGCGCGTTCGTTTAAGTGAGTGCAAAAACTATGAATAAGTTGGGGTACTATAGTCGTTTATTAAGCTAAAACAGGCGATTCTGCCCCGGGCGTTTATGTTCGCGTTAGTGTTTTCTTTGTGTTTAGGTGGGTTTGCGTTAGTGGTTGCGTTTTGATTTGGTTCGTTTTTGTTCTTTCTTTTTTCGTTTTTGTTTGTGTTTTTTTTGTTTGGGTTTGTATTTGTGTTTTTGGTTGGTTTTGCGTTTGGATTTGGTTTGTTTTCGTTCTTTCTTTTTTCGTTTTTGTTTGTGTTTTTTTGTTTGGGTTTGTATTTGTGTTTTTGGTTGGTTTTGCGTTTGGATTTGGTTTGTTTTCGTTTGCTTTTTCGTTTTTTTTTTTTTTTTTTTTTGTTGGTATTGGTGTTTGTGGTTGGGTTTGTTGTTAGGTTTTTGTTTTCGTTTGCTTTTTTGTTTGTTTTTTCTTTGTGTTTGTATTGGTGTTTGTGGTTGTTGTTGGGTTTGTTGTTAGGTTTTTGTTTTCGTTTGTATTTGTAATTGTGTTAGCGTTATGTTTGCGTTTTGTTGTTTTGGTTGGTTGTGGTTTGGGTGGGCAATGCCGGGTTTATGATGATTACTAAACACACAGGTAATGGTCGTTAACAGAAAGGTTTTTCACAGAAGCCAGAGCAGGGCCTGGCCGGGACGGCTAGTATATATATATATATATATATATATATATATATATATATATATATATATATATATCTAATATATAAAGCTCAGTTCTGTATGTAACGCATATGTTTGTCGTTGGTCTTGGATGGATTAAAGTGTTATAATATTATCGTGCGCATTTCTCTAAATTTATGAGTTAAAAAATTACTATTGAAAGTGTTGGGAAATAATTTTCATTTTTCAAATTATAGTAATAATTGTCGGCATGTTCATCAAACACAAGTTTTAAAAAAATATCATCTTTTACAAAAATTCTAATTATGTCTTTATTTAGTCCTATAGCACTTACTTCCCTTTTATAAATTAGGAAAACACAATTACTTCCCTTTATAAAACCATTGCATTCGTGGAAAATAATTTACTTTTTAATTACTTTGTTTTGGTGTTGGGAAAAAAAATAATTACATAATAAGCGGGGATTGATCAAGTGCAAATGTTGTAGGTATTTTACGGATAAGCTTGGAGTATTAAAATTGTTCATTAAATTGAAACAGGCGCGTTCGTTTAAGTGAGTGCAAAAGACTGTGAATAAGTTGGGGTACTATAGTCGTTCATTAAGCTAAAACAAGTGATTCCGCCCCGGGCGTTTATGTTCGCGTTAGTGTTTTCTTTGTGTTTAGGTGGGTTTGCGTTAGTGGTTGCGTTTTGATTTGGTTCGTTTTTGTTCTTTCTTTTTTCGTTTTTATTTGTGTTTTTTTCTTTGGGTTTGTATTTGTGTTTTTGGTTGGTTTTGCATTTGGATTTGGTTTGTTTTCGTTTGCTTTTTCGTTGTTTTTTTTTGTTGTTGGTATTGGTGTTTGTGGTTGGGTTTGTTGTTAGGTTTTTGTTTTCGTTTGCTTTTTTGTTTGTTTTTTCTTTGTGTTTGTATTGGTGTTTGTGGTTGTTGTTGGGTTTGTTGTTAGGTTTTTGTTTTCGTTTGTATTTGTAATTGTGTTAGCGTTATGTTTGCGTTTTGTTGTTTTGGTTGGTTGTGGTTTGGGTGGGCAATGCCGGGTTTATGATGATTACTAAACACACAGGTAATGGTCTTTAACAGAAAGGTTTTTCACAGAAGCCAGAGCAGGGCCTGGCCGGGACGGCTAGTTATAGATAAATCTAATATATAAAGCTCAGTTCTGTATGTAACGCATATGTTTGTCGTTGGTCTTGGATGGATTTAAGTGTTAGAATATTATCGTGCGCATTTGTCTAAATTTATGAGTTAAAAAATTACTATTGAAAGTGTCGGGAAATAATTTTCATTTTTCAAATTATAGTAATAATTGTCGGCATGTTCATCAAACACAAGTTTTAAAAAAATATCATCTTTTACAAAAATTCTAATTATGTCTTTATTTAGTCCTATAGCACTTACTTCCCTTTTATAAATTAGGAAAACACAATTACTTCCCTTTATAAAACCATTGCATTCGTGGAAAATAATTTACTTTTTAATTACTTTGTTTTGGTGTTGGGAAAAAAAATAATTACATAATAAGCGGGGATTGATCAAGTGCAAATGTTGTAGGTATTTTACGGATAAGCTTGGAGTATTAAAATTGTTCATTAAATTGAAACAGGCGCGTTCGTTTAAGTGAGTGCAAAAGACTGTGAATAAGTTGGGGTACTATAGTCGTTCATTAAGCTAAAACAAGTGATTCCGCCCCGGGCGTTTATGTTCGCGTTAGTGTTTTCTTTGTGTTTAGGTGGGTTTGCGTTAGTGGTTGCGTTTTGATTTGGTTCGTTTTTGTTCTTTCTTTTTTCGTTTTTATTTGTGTTTTTTTCTTTGGGTTTGTATTTGTGTTTTTGGTTGGTTTTGCATTTGGATTTGGTTTGTTTTCGTTTGCTTTTTCGTTGTTTTTTTTTTGTTGTTGGTATTGGTGTTTGTGGTTGGGTTTGTTGTTAGGTTTTTGTTTTCGGTTGCTTTTTTGTTTGTTTTTTCTTTGTGTTTGTATTGGTGTTTGTGGTTGTGGTTGGGTTTGTTGTTAGGTTTTTGTTTTCGTTTGTATTTGTAATTGTGTTAGCGTTATGTTTGCGTTTTGTTGTTTTGGTTGGTTGTGGTTTGGGTGGGCAATGCCGGGTTTATGATGATTACTAAACACACAGGTAATGGTCTTTAACAGAAAGGTTTTTCACAGAAGCCAGAGCAGGGCCTGGCCGGGACGGCTAGTTATAGATAAATCTAATATATAAAGCTCAGTTCTGTATGTAACGCATATGTTTGTCGTTGGTCTTGGATGGATTTAAGTGTTAGAATATTATCGTGCGCATTTGTCTAAATTTATGAGTTAAAAAATTACTATTGAAAGTGTCGGGAAATAATTTTCATTTTTCAAATTATAGTAATAATTGTCGGCATGTTCATTCAACGCAAGTTTTAAAAAAATATCATCTTTTACAAAAATTCTAATTATGTCTTTATTTAGTCCTATAGCACTTACTTCCCTTTGATAAATTAGGAAAACACAATTACTTCCCTTTATAAAACCATTGCATTTAGTGGAAAATAATTTACTTTTTAATACTTGGTTTTGGTGTTGGGAAAAAAAATAATTACATAATTAGCGGGGATTGATCAAGTGCAAATGTTGTAGGTATTTTACGGATAAGCTTGGAGTATTAAAATTGTTCATTAAATTGAAACAGGCGCGTTCGTTTAAGTGAGTGCAAAAGACTGTGAATAAGTTGGGGTAATATAGTCGTTCATTAAGCTAAAACAGGTGATTCCGCCCCGGGCGTTTATGTTCGCGTTAGTGTTTTCTTTGTGTTTAGGTGGGTTTGCGTTAGTGGTTGCGTTTTGATTTGGTTCGTTTGTGTTTTTTTCTTTGGGTTTGTATTTGTGTTTTTGGTTGGTTTTGCGTTTGGATTTGGTTCGCTTTTGTTCTTTCTTTTTTCGTTTTTGTTTGTGTTTTTTTGTTTGGGTTTGTATTTGTGTTTTTGGTTGGTTTTGCGTTTGGATTTGGTTTGTTTTCGTTTGCTTTTTCGTTGTTTTTTTTTGTTGTTGTTGGTATTGGTGTTTGTGGTTGGGTTTGTTGTTA